TATAACTAATAAATTTATTATTACCTCCATTACCAGGAACAGCTACAAAGAACTTAACATTATCCCGATGACCATGGAAACTTAACTGGGCATGAGCCATTGTACAATAAGGAACAAAACTTCCAGGTATAGGAGGAACCCTCAATCCTAGTCCCGGCAAAGGGGCTAGAACTGAGTTATTTGCTCTTGGAACAATTGCACCTGCAGAAGTACCGCCATCTGAAAGGGGTACTGATATTATAACTCCATTACTGGTTCCTATCCATAGCCGATTAGATGATATCAGAAGACTTGTGATTCTAACTAATGAAAAGCCTAATTTTCCAGTTCCTGTAAAGAAAAATAAAACATAGGTAACAACTCTCCAATCTTCATTTTAGAGACACAAATTCTATAACATACTTAATTATATATAGCAGAGAACAAAATCCGGGTTTGGTAGGGTGTGCTTGAATGGAACTTGTAGTATAAACATATCATCTGCTACTGTGACAGACACCTACAGAGGTATACTCATTGAATGAGAGGACAAAGGTAGTATCATGAAGTCTCAGCAACTATTGACTGGAAAGCTCCCCGTTCACTCGTATTTATTCTTGTAAGGGGTAGTGGGGAGTGTCCATGGAAATACTTACTCCTCATTTTTCTTCAATTGTGCCAGGTTATTCCAATTGGTTCTTTTTTGGCACTACAAGTTTCATTCGACCACCGGTTACCAGCCCGGAATTTATTCTCTCTGATCTTAACTTCGGCCATTAGAGACTATGTTATGAATTATGTATTATTTTCTTTTTAGATGACTGCTCTCCTGGGGTTTTATCAGTCTGATAGTTGTACTCTTAAGAAAATAGTGTATTTAACATTAACATTGATATATAATATACTATTTTCGATTTCTCACATATTTAAAGTTTCTGCAGATTACTACAGCCAAAATTTTCTTTTTATTCTGATCCTTAATTTCAGATCTGTCTTTCAACATGAAGAAATTTATTTAAATAACACTTTGTTAGATTTTCACTAAACATTTTACACAACCACAACATATGTTTCACTATACAAGGGATTCTTCAGGTGTGTTCATATTGACTAAATTCTACCTAAAACAGTAGTTATCCATCCATACATTCCTATGAGTATTAAGTAACAGCATTCAAAAGTATGCAACGGAAAGTAATTTTTAGAGAGAACAAGGTCATCCAACTTCAATAAATGATAGTAGGCATCATAGGATATTGACTACCGATTATGTCGTTCGTTTTTGAAAGAGAAAGACTGGGACATGGCTCGCAGAACAAATAAAAATTGAATGAAGTTTAAATTAAAAGGATATATTTTTAGAAGAGATTAATTTTTGAGAAAGAAAGTTTTTGACCTTCTACTTCTCCTTCTTGATATAAAAAATGTGGAAGCCAATTACAAAAAAATAACTCTATACAAAGATGTGGAGATCATGCAAAGAAGTAACTTTCAGACAGAAACTGAAAAAAAAAGCCTTCTTAAAACAGCAAGTTTTATATAAAAATTGAATTACATAAAAGAAAAATACTTTCGAAACAAATACTTTTACATAAACTCTGAATTATATGAAAAACACTTTTCTCTATTCCGTTTGTGTCTGAAAGTTACTTCTTTGTATGATCTACACGTCTTTATATAGAGTTCATTTCTTTGGAAGATTCCCACATTATGTGTCAAAAAGTCGTAATTATGAACGAATTGGCTGTTTTTTTTTAATAATGTCATCTGTATTTACTACTTAAGAGCCGATAAGGCAAGTGTCTCACGGTGAAACATCGGATGTGTAGCAGTGATGATGACAGTGTTTCATGTAAGTGAAATTTTACTTCTTTCATTAGCCAAGTTACTTGGCTTGGAATCTCTTAATTTTCAAATCATTTTATATAATATCAGACAATGGAAGTCCGAACTAATGAAATTGATGAAAATAGCTATTTTGGGAGGGCTTTTCCTTCCAGTTTGTCTGAAAGTTGCTTCTTTGCATGATCCACACATCTTTGTATAGAGTTAATTTTTTGTAATTGATTCCTTCCTTTCTTTGGTGGTTAATGGTGGTGGTTAACGAAAAAAAACACATTTTAAACATACCATAACATATTTTAAACATATTTGGAAGATCCCCACATTTTTGTATCAAGATGGAGAAGCAGAAGGCCAAAAACTTTCCCAATTAAATCAAATTTATTGATAATAATAAAGACAAAAATTCAGTGTTGGATAAATCAGGAGTATATAAGTTGAATTGTAGTTCTTGCCCAATATTGGTCAAATGGAGAGAACCATTTACCAAAGAATAATAACTTAGGAATAGTTTCTTGAATGTGAAAACCAACTACACATTTGAAAATTATCTTTTGATAGAGGAGCATGTGTTCAATCACGAATATGACGTATTACATTTGGAAGAGGAAGGTTTGAAACACGATCATATGGAATGTTTCAAAAGATTTAAAAACTGGGAACATTTGCTGAATGTCCAAATATAATTAGAAAATTCCTCACTATTAAATCTGTTTTATAATGTTGTAATTGGTAATTACTTACATGTCCATTTAAATGAATTTATTTGTAAGATATCTTTCCTAATGTTTTATTTTCTAATGAGTTTATACCTAAACTCAAGTAAAATTATTATTTTAAAGTAGGTAGAAAGTCATATTATTCAAATTGTTAATTTCTATGAAGCACTAATCAGTTGGAATTCAGTTAGTTTGAGCATGCTCGAAAAAGCTATTTTATAGTGAAACACGTGTTGTGGTTTTGTAAACTGTTGAGTAAAAATCTCACAGTAAAGTGTTATTTGAATAAGTTATGGATTTTTATCAAGTGCCACTTTCAGTGGATATGATATTCCGATATAATGTTATGTGATTCAGCAAAGTATATTATTGTGTCATCAGTATATAGTTTAACCTCTCCTTGGAGAGTTAGTATATCAAAAGATGTAAATTTAAAGAACTGTGGTTGTCATAACAACACCTTGTGGTACTCCACAAGGTACTCCCTGGAATTGCTTGACACAAGTTCCCACAATTCCAATCTAAGTAGTTTATCCTCAATAGTACCAAATCAAGTGACACTAGCACACGAGTCTGCATGTTGTCCTCATTTTTAAAATTTTTGTGATAACAGGTACACAAATTGTGTTGATCAACCATATTGACATGGTAACTATATTTTTTTATCAAGATATGCAACAGGTTGACTTTTGACAATTTTTTCAACTATTTATCATTGGTTCAGCTCATATCTTTCAAGATATGACCCGGAAACAGATTTTTAAAATATTTAATCATGGTAATACATCTCTTTCATTTCCTCTGAGGACTCCATTTTAGAGCTGACACTATTTGTTGTATATGTTAATGTTTGTGATAGACACTGAAAATGGTTGCTCCCAGTTTAGCGAGTCTTTCAGTAGTAAAAAGTCGGAAATCAAATACAAAAATTATATAAGTATGCTCCTTTATCACATCATCTCCCCATTAAGTTCATTTCCTATTTCTGCATTATGAAATTTATTGACTTAAGTAGGTATATAAAGAAAATATTTATTTTGGTGTATTTTAAAACTTTCAAGTTTATTCTAATTGAATTAAAAAGTGATGGATATTATTTTGTTTCTAACAAACACTTTTTCAAAGTAGTTTCTTTTTATGATTATTATCAACGTAAAACATAGTATGTATTTGCCACTGCAAGAAAAAGGAAATGGCTAATTTACCTGTTGTGGTTTCTAATACTCTCTTATCCATTTCAATGAAAGGCAAAGATTATTAAATATTTGAATTTCAAAAAACAACTAGAGTTCTAATACTATTTGAAAACTGAAGTATAATGAATTTAATGATTTTTTTCTATAATGTGAGAGTTTTCAACTCTGACAACATATTTGATTATCAATTTTCTAACATTTGCAATATGCAGAAAGACATTTAAGCAAAGGAACAACAATAGTCCTTACCCAGCATTTTACTAACATACGGTTCGATATCCACATCCTGTAGATGTTGATAAGTGTGAGCATGGTATAACCTTAAAGTTGAATCTAATCTAATCGACACCCACACTCCTTCTCCCAACCATGCAATCTGCCTCACCTAGAAAAATCAATTCAAATAATACTTGACGAGTAACAAATCAAAATCACTTACAGGGCTCTCTCTCCTCGGATGAGCTTCTAACGTATAAGCGATCTTCAAATCATTTGGTAGAAGAACGTGTATTTTATTTCGATATCCACACCAGACCTTATCACCTACCACAGCCAACTGACGAATTGATTGATGGGGTAAACCAATCTGTACCAAGTGATACTGGGATAAATCCCATTCACCTTCTTGGTTCCTCCCGAAAATTGCAATCTGCCCACAGGCTAATGCTACCACTACCCTGCCATTTATATGTCTGAAAATAATTCGATTATTATAAAAAAATGTTAATAATATATAAGAACGCTGTACTGTATAACATAATTGTAGAAAGTTTGTAAACAATTTTTTGTCAAAAGATTGAATTTAAATTGACTTAATAGTTGTCAGAATTGATATAACTTTGTAACAATTTTGAAAAACAAATAGTTGATATTCATGGAAATATATAGTTATGTTTCAATTATAACAAAATGTCAGAGAAAATTCGTGTTTGACTTAACAAATTGAAAAAAGAACTACATGATGGAAAATTCCCAATGATGTCACTTACTTTTATTTATGTCTAAATGTAATAAATAAGTATATATTGTACTAAGATGATTGATATCTATTCGTTTGTTCATAGTATTGGGCTCTTTCATAATTTCTACCATTTCAAGAAAAAGTATTTTTTTGTAATTGTTTTCTATTTGTAAAATCATACTTTGTTCGTAATTTGGAAAATGATTTTTTGTAATACAATGCACAAGATTTTTTATTGAGTCTTATGTCACTTTTATGGGAAACAATTCGATCTCTAAATGATCTAGAAGTTCCAATGTACTGTAAATCACAATCATTGCAAGGATGTTATATATTTTTGGGAAAGAAAGTTTTTGGCTTTCTACTACTCTATCTTGATACAAAAAAAGGATGAGGGAATACATTTCCAATTTTGGAGACCAGGAAAATCTAGTATCTCTCATCACGCCTTGGAGAATGGTCATAGAATAGAGGGAAACTTTCTGAAATTGTTGAAATAATTATTGTGCGTCGGAAAGCGAAAGTGTAACCAGTTACAAATAAATAGAGATTTTTAGAGTTAGGAACTATTCTCCTGAAGACACCAACTTGGCGTTGAGTAGTGTTATAGTTCTGGTGTCTAGGAAAAGGGTTTGTTATGGATTTATTTTACACCAGAGGTTCCAGTTTTTTATGTATATAGAAAAAAAAAAACTTATATTGTCCAAACAGGCACTAGACCTAATTACAGGACACGGTATACAATTTTGGGATGAAAGTGTTGAATATAGGAAATATATACATATCATAATAGTAATAATACATTCATGGAATAGCCAAAAAAAAAGGAAAAAATAATAAATTTCGTAAGTGTTTGATGATTTGCAAACATAATAAACAGTTTTGGGATAAAAGTGTTGAATATAAAAAATATACATATACATTGAACAAAACAAATTTTAAATGAGTAATTATTGCTTTACAAACAAAATGGTTTTTATCTCTTTTTTGAATATATCCAATGTTGTTGAATGAATGTCTACTTTCTAACACAGATGATTAAATTTATAGCAAATTGCAAATAAGGAAGATTTGAAAAACATATTGGTTCTCGGTGTTGGTAGGTAAAAACATTGTTCAGTTCTACCACTGATTCTTGGCACATGAAACTCTAGTTGAGACAGTAGTTATAGTGAGTTGACAAGATTGTTCACCAGTTTTTTTTAATAAAAATATAACAACAGCATACAGTTCAACATAGACACTATAAATATAAAATATGTTGTTATTCTCCATAATCAGCAAAAATGCTGGTCTCGGGATTCACAAACATTTATATATATATATTAAACACAAAAGCTAGTAAACCACTACAAAGCTCATAGTAGTAATGTATCAGACATGTGCCTCGAGGCTCAGATGTTCTTTAAAACTATTGATGAATGAACTATAGCCCGGCAACTCACGTATATGGACAGGTAATTCATTGAAGACTTTTATAGCCTGTGTAAAAGGATTGTATAATCCTTTGGTCGTTCTTACCATGCTCGGGTGTAAGTCATTTCTACCCCTTGTATTATACTCATAAAACTGGTTATTGACTAGTAGATCGTTGTTGCTTTTGATTCTTTAGTTTTTTATTATATATAAGTTCTTGCATTGCTAAAGTTGAAATAAATTATTTTGTAGCTTTTGGATTTTTTTTAAATAGTATATATATGCATTGTAAACCAAGTATTACTGAAACTCAAGTAACTGGAACACCTATATAGAGCTCCTAACATTGGTACAATTTTATCATTAACATGTTCTGTATCCTGACCAGTTTAACTTATCATCTATCATGAGTCCCAAATACTGGGTTTTTGCAACATTCATTAAGGGTAAGTTATTTATTCTTAATTTTTTTTGTTTAAGTAGCATGTAAACGGTTTTTGCAGAGTTCACCTCAAGTTTATTATGTGTAAGCCAGTTTGAGTATTTAGAGAGAACTTCATTAACTGTGTTCTCCAGTAAATGTAAATGATATCCACTGTACAAAAGGACTGTGTCATCGGCGAACGTGAAATACCTTCCCTTAAGCCCGGCCTGCCTCAGTGACAGTACCATCAGTGTATACAACAGGGGTCCCAAAACGGATCTCTGGTACGCCACAATTATTTTTTATATGCTCACTCATACTCTCACTAATAGCGACAAACTTGGATCTTTCCTTTAAAAATATCTCAATGAGAGAATAAGTTTTGCCCCTTATACACATGCAACATAGTTTGTTCAGAAGAACAGTATGGTCAACAACGTCAAATGCCTTTCTTAAATCAATGAACACTGCAATAACTATTTTTTTTATCCAATTCCGATGTAATATTCTGAAAGAAAACTATTGTGGCGCTCAGAATGCTGCTACCTTTGATAAAACCATACTGATACTCATCAAACCCCACATAACAGTCAACAAAGTCCAATATTCTTGTATTTATTAGAGTTTCAATAATTTTAGAGAATGAGCACACAATTGTTATAGGTCTATAATTTTCTAAGTTTTTGTTATCATCACCCTTAAATATTGGTATTACTTTTCCAGTCTTCGGTATCTCAGGAAATACCCCCGCTTTGAAAATATCGTTTATCAAATTAACGAGTATGGAAATGACATTTTTTCAATTAATATTATGTCTTTAACAGATATGTTGTCGTGCCCTGCTGCAGAGTTTTTATCGAGTGCCACTATGACTTCAGATATCTTTTTAGCATTGGTTTCCTTTGGGAATAATGAGTTGCCACATGATAGTTCCCCAAAATCTACATTTTCTATATTAATATCTATATCGGAAATAATTGATTGTCCTATGCTAGTAAAATACCTGTTTGCCACCTCTTGAGGGTCAGTGATTGTTCTATCATCTGTAACTAATTTAATTGACTCGTTTTTTTCCTTCTTTATATTTATTATCAAGTTTATTACTCTCCATTGCTTTTTTGCATTGTTACCTGCTTTTTGCCATTCCGATTTAAATTAAATTGATTTTTGTTTCCTTATCTCATTGGTAACTTTATTTTTGAAAACTTTAAAGTCCATCCACAATTTATTTATGTTTTCAGAATTTGGATTTGTTCCACTTATTTTTTTATATATTATCTCGTTCTTTTATTAAGTTCAATAGATCATAGGTCATCCAATCATTCCCCTTGCGATGTTTTAATTTTATCTTATAACTAGAACCGTCTTTACATGCATTTATTACTTTTGTTAGGGTATCCATTGTGTCAATGGATTTAGAATGTTGTGACGTGTCCCTGAATTTTAGTTTGAATAAATCTTACTTAACTATACTAAAGTTTGTTAGTATCTTTAGTTTATAGTATACAGGCTCAATATCTACATTGATATTTGATGGCTTATGATCAGACAGAGCATAGTTGTATATTGAGACATCACACTTTTGTATATGAATACGCAAGAATAATAAGTTTTTCTGACTTCAAGTGAAAAGCTGTAACAATATATTATCATCTATTCCCTGTCTGGGATAGACATCATCTAGTTTGTAGATGACATATTTCATAAACCGTCATTGGACAGATTCAAGCGATTGAATATGTGTAGTATATATAGGTGACCAGATAAGACAGCCATATTCTAAATGAGATCTAACAAATGGGTCGAAGGGAGTGATAAAACTTTCCATGTTCTTGAAATCTTCACAATTTCTAAATATGAGGCCTAACATTCTCTTCGCAGCAGTTACACTTTCCTCTATGTGAAGTGCCAATGAGAGTTTAGTATCAAAGAATACTCCCAAGTCTTTGCAGCTGTCTGTTTTTACCAGTAAATAATCATTTATTGAATAATTGTGGTCAACAGTGGTATGTTTGTTACAAAAGGTGGTATATTTACATTTATTTAAATTGACTGGCAGATTGTTAGAACAGAAGAGAGCTAATTTATTCAAATCACTCTATAGCATTTCGTTGTCATTAGGTGACTCTATGACACAAAAAACCTTTAGATAATCAGCAAATAATAGAATTTCGCAATCTATATCTAATCCTATGTCGTTGATGGCCAGGGAAAATAGAAGGGAAGCTAGGTTGCTTCCCTATGGAGCACTGTATTCATCAGATTTGTGTCCTCTGTATTCAACAAATTGGGAGCAATTCGTGAGATAGGAATAAAAGGATTTCAGAAGATTTGAATCAAAACCAATCTCATTCAGTTTTGAAATGAGTATAGTGTGATCCAACTTGACAAAGGCCTTTGAGAAGTATGTATATATTGTGTCTACCAGCTGATTTTCTAAAGCACAACTTATTGTTTGTGTGAACGTTATTAGATTAGCTCTAGTAGATTTTTTTGCGATAAAGCCATCAGGAATTATTATATTTTGTACTTTGGGAGATATTCTATTATAGATACGTATCTCAAAGCCCTTCGCAGAGTCACACAGTTGAATCCTTCAAAGTACAGTTGACTCGCGATAGTCCGACACTTTACAGTCCGACACGCTCGGTAGTCCGACGCTGCGCCGTATGGGTCATCGGTCTAGTCTACTCGGTCTTACCTGTAAAACCCATTCATGTTGTGTTATGATTTTAATATTAAGTAATTTTTTTTGTAAAAACTAAAGCCTGGCTTCATTACATATTTTGAATATTTTCTAGTCAAATATTACATAAAAATTCGTTGACTAGATTTCCAAACTTATACACTGCAAATTCAATTAAATAAAGCCAATCTTTGGTAATCCGACATTTTTGGTAATCCGACACCCCCGCGGTACCGTAGTGTCAGACTAACGCGAGTACACTGTAGTTTCATAAGTTTCCTTATTTTGTCCACCTTGTAAACATTTCGGATACACATCAACAAACTATGAATTAGTAGTACTGGGTGTTTTACTAAATACTAACCCTTTTCACTGTATGTATTTGCCAATCTATACAAATGTTTTCAGAATGGCTTTAGAGTAAGAACTTCTAATATTCAATAGACAATTTGAAATAATTACCACTTCTCTCAGAAACGATAATTTGTTTTCAGAGATACTGAGAGTATTCACATAAAGATATCAAATTGTTGATCTAGGAAACACCAAAAGTGAAAAAAGAAAAATATCAAGAGGAATGCCACAAGGGTCAATATTGGGGCCACTTCTGTTCCTAATATATATCAACGACCTACCTCACGTGATGAACTCGTCAGGCATAGAAACTATATTGTATGCAGATGATGCAACCTTGGGCAAAAAAAAATATAAAATAGATGATCCTCATATGATCCATACTGACATATTAGAGAAAGCTCGATCATGGTTCACACCAAATGACTTGATTCTATAAGAAATTACATTTTACTTACACTATTGCTATAACTGCATCTTTCATTTTGACAGTATGCAAACATTGAGCCCAGTTTGCTACTGATGAATGAACATAAATATTTCCATGTTCGTCGCCCATCCACATGCACGCCAGCACACTTGACATGATCTCTTGAGTTTGCGTTCCTTTGCTTTGGTCTTCCTGTGTATTATCATTTTCGGCAGTTTCGGGACTTTTTGGTTCGTTATCAAGTTTTTCAGATTCCGTGGTTGTATCACAAGTCGTATGAGTTTCGTCTAACTTATCTTTATTATTATTATCACATGTCCGTTCTTGTTTGGCATATTTGTCTTTTTTATTGACCACAGTTTCATCTTTTTCTACGAAGGTAACTCTGCCCAACTGCAAAGAAAAATTACTGGTATAGAAGAAGAGATATTTTTATTGAAATGAGTAACCATCAGGGCTATATATTTTGTTAAAAGTGGAGAAAGTTAAAATTACAATTCTCAGAGTGCAAAGCTGATTTCCGGATTTGTTGAGATTTTTGTTCCTGACATTTTGTCTACTACTGCAGTAGATATTATGAAAGGAATGAGGTAATGGACAAACAGCCCGGGTTGTCTTCACAGCTGATACTGCGTTCAAGGTTTAAAAAAAAAAGTTTTCATCGAATTTAAATTATCAAAATGAAATAATTACCGGTGATTTCACTGGCATCCTCATCTCCATCAATGTCCTGAAAAAGTTCATGGTAGTTATTAAAAATTGGTATGTCAAACTGAGCATAGCTTCTTACGTGATAACTAAGTTCTTGGTACAGAGTATTGGCGCTTCTTTGTTCTTTTTTTGTATTTATTCTACTATTATTATTTTGTGGAGGAGATTGCGGACTTATGGGGGAAGTGACAACACTCTTATTTTCCAAGTTCAGTGAATCTGTAGTCTGCCCCCTTTCCACCTTCTGAACACCATCCCTCATATTATCCAATTCACTATGCAAGCTGTGAAATTATCAGAAGATTTTAATTTGTCACCTTATTATTGTCATCAATTACCTCGGCGAAGAATGGGCGCTACTCAATGGCGAGGACGGCACACTCTCCACATTATCAGTATTCGCTAGTGATTCAAACCCAAATGAAATTGGTCCAGAACTTCTTCCCATACTGATTCTGTTAGAGTTCAATCTGCCAGAGTCAACCCTCTCGTTGGCTAACTGTTGACCAGAGTGTAATAATTTTGTTCTTTCCATGTACTCAACGTGTGTTTTGAATAATTCTGTGTATCTTTCGTGAAGTTTTGCATATTCTTTTTTGAGTTCCGTTTCTCTTTCCTCCAACCGTATGGCATGTTCCACGGAGTTTTTGTGTTTGATTTCCAACATTCTGACAATGCTCTCGAGAGCTTCAAGGCGGCTTGACAATTCTTTCCGCTCTCCTGAAAATCAACGGTATTAGTAACAATAAATAACCATCACCAGTGAGTTCAACTAAAATATAATACAAATTCACAATAGTGTATGTACCTGATGAAATTTAAATTTATATATTGATGCTAGTACTATGTTGCTGTATCGCTGCTGTTCCAATGTTTTGACAGAATCAGAATCAACGAACTTAGGCGTTCGCAGCGTTATAGAACAGGGCTTTCAAAAAATTGTTCTACAGCACCATCTAGTGGCGAGTTACAGAAAAATTGATAGCCTAAAAACCTTCTCTATGAAAAATTACTTATGCATGTCAAGTTTCATCACGATCGGTTGAGCGATGTAGAAGTTTATCACTTACCAACCAACCAACCAACCAACAAACATCCATTTTTATATATTAGATTATTAAAATTTCACAAAATCTAATATAATTTGTCTTTTCTGTACAGCAAAATGATCTTTTACTATGCCCACTTTACTCTTAATTTTACTATGACCACCTATTTCGATTTTAGAGATATTTGCAATTTTGTATTCAAAGATCGCAACTTTACCTCCCTCTACATATTTTAATTATGCATATACATTTTCAGGAATTGAGACCATTTCGTCAAAAGGTCTGATTTGATAGAAACACCAGGAATAAAGACAATTCCGATATAGTAAAAACAAAAACTTAATCTAATAATAATAATGATAAATTGGTTAAGGCTTTCGCAGCCCAGATTTTCAGTGTTACTATCTTCATTCGGGTTTGAAGGCCGTCATAGTTTAGAACTGCATCCTAACGTTTTGCCAGCACGAGTGGCTGACTTCTTCATCATGAAGATGAATAAACCTCCAAGTGGCGTGTTTTTTCTGACCTGTTTTCTATCGTTTTAACTATATGTACAGCTCATTACTGGAGTTTTTTCCCAATACCAAACCGTTATTTTAACACCTCGACACGTGTTTCGATCACCAAGTGATCATCTTCAAGAGGCAGGTCAAACAGCAATTAAATTTCTGCATTCTTCAACTTTCCATTGTTTTTCAAAATTAAATTTCATTCTTCTTTGAAATAAACAACAATATATAACAAATCAATAAAAATAGCCTTCCTAGTGCCGATAATCGAAATTCATACCCAGCACAGATTAACAGATTAACAAATAAATTAATAATGTCGCCGAACGTTTCCACATACCGGACTCAGTTTACAAAAACACAGACAAAACATCGTAACCTTTTGACCTTTCCGTCTGCCGACAGGACATTTCATTGTTGACAAAAACAGTCGCCCGCAACACAAAGTCTTCAAAACGTTACTTATTTTGACAACTCAAGTTTTTGTTTTGTCGAAATCGATATAGTTGCTGTTTTGTTGTGGTTTTGTACGTTTTGTGGAAATCTGACATTATACATTACAACTTCAACTGAAATTTCAAAAGCTATCTGGAATAATTTGCTCGTGAAAGTCCCAAGTGTCTTCTAATATCTCTCTTGCAACTATAAACCATACACTATTTCTAGGCATTCATTCAAGGAATGCATATGTGTTTAACACCAAATTTCTAAATCTCGTTTGCCTTTTTCAGTGGCATATTAACATTAGTATGTTGAGTGTTATTTTCAATCTTTTCCTGTCATTGTGTCACCTTCATAGTTAATTTTATTGAATTCTCCATTTTCCCCCTTTTAGACACTAGGATAATGATAAACCTCCAAATCCTGGTTAACATTTGTTCAAAAGATAAAAAAAACATCTTATTTGATAACTTACTGTCTATAATACAATTCAGTCTAATTTTTAGTTAAAATGATTCACATCAATGAATCACCCAATATTGTTTCATATTATCAGATGCTCCATGATGAGCAGATTTCAACAAAGTATAAAACATATGGTCTGAAGCTTATGGTTCTGGAGCTACAAATTATTTGAGTTGAAAACGAGCCACGCTGAATAACTTTTGAAACAATGATTTGCAGGAAAAATAAAAAAAACAGGTCAACAATTATACAGGAGGCCACATTTTGAAATATTCGTTGTAGAGACAAATATGGAAGCAATAAATCAGAAAAAGAGATTTGTTATTAATTCTTGCCTCAAAATCTAATGACTTAATAATGAGAAGAAAAAAATTGTTTATAGTAAATGTTCNCAGGGTGGCTCGTTTTCAACTCAAATAATTTTTAGCTTCCAAACTATGAGCTTCAGACATAATGTATTCTACTTTGTTGAAATCTGTTCATCATGGAACATTTGATAATGCAGAACAATTGATCGATGCTCTGGTGAATGGTAACATGCTCTGGGTTGCGATAAGGAAAGTTAGATCAAATATGAATATGTCAAAATGTGTCCCCCTGTATACTATTGTTGAGGTGTTTTTGTATTATTCCTGAAAATCATTGTTCCAAAAGTTATTCAGGCGTGCTCGTTTTCAACTCAAATAATTTGTAGCTCCCGAACCATAAGCTCAAAGTTTTATACTTTGTTGAAATCTTCTCATCATGGAGCATCTAATGATGCAAAACATTACAGGGTGATCCATTACAAAAATATGTGACATGCTCTGGGGGTACGATAGGGGAAGTAACATCAAATGTGATTATGTCAAAATGTGTCCCCCTGTATACTATGGTTGACGTGTTTTTTTTTATTTTTCCTGCAAATCATTGTACCAAAAGGTATTCAGGGTGGCTCGTTTTTAATGGAATGCACTGTATATGTTGTCGAAGAGTTCGCGTTGAACCGCGTCTGGAGTTTTGTGTTCGACGTTTCGGCTCCGATTTTGGAGCCATTTTCAAAAAATTGATGTGACTTGACGCCGGAGCCTCAATCTGCCTACTCTGAGGTCTCAATCTACCTCCTCCATAGATCGAACTTAGATTCAATCTAAATCGAAGATTATCACGGACAAAGTATGATGAGCTGTTTTCTCGGGTTTTGTTCAGTGTTCTGTGTTTTTTTGATCCTCACAAGGATTATTTTCACAACGTTTTGGTAAACTCTAACTTGCCATCTTCTGGTGATGTCTGGAGTTCTAATTCCAAACTCCAGATCACTAGAAGATAGCAAATGAGACTCTATGATACGTGTGATGTATGACTTGATATTATAGTAGCAAAGCTGAACTCAATATTCATTTCATAACAGCCGTTTGCATTCGTTTTTCATTTCAGATATGGTTTCATTTATTTCTCTGAATTCAAAATTCAGTAGTTCTTTATGTAGAATAGAATTCATGAAAAACTCTTTCAACTCTTAAATATATGATTAAAAGCCAATTCATCATAAATAATAATAAATTGGCACATAGTTGAATATTCTCTATTATTACTGCGAAAGTTGTTCAATTAGCAATATAAAAATTGAGTAAGATGCCCTTCACACTATAATTTTATATTTCACAGTGAGCCCACTTACTATACCAGAACGTAAGAGTATGTATTTTTATTAGTGTATATTGCTGAGAAGTCATTTTTCTCAGTGAACCAGGTTGTCTATCACTCAAAATCTTCGGTTCAGAGTTGGGACACCGAACATCAAAGGATCCGACGTTAATGTCGCTTCTCTGTGGTAGGTATTCTTGGTCAATATCTTCAACTACTACAAAATGGCGGAACTTTTAATAATTGCCTGAATACATTGACATTTAACTACATAATATGACGTAATAAGCTTGAGGTCAGTTCAGAAGATGCTCGAAATGGTTGCCTTGAACTTCTTGACATATGAACAGCCTATCCGATATTTCACGCCGAACATTTTCGAACACAGTAACGTCAAATATCTCTAAAAATATTTATTATTCTCTGCCGTATATCCAATATTGAAGCAAGTTCAGTTTCGTACACCTTTTGCTTCAAATAGCCCCATAAAAAAAGTCCAAAGGTGTCAAATCTGCCGAGCGGGCTGGCCATTCTGTAGGACCTCGACGGCCAATCCAACGACCGGGAAAAGTAGTATCCAAATAGTTTCATACTTGTCTCGAATAATGTGGTAGTGCTCCATCTTGTTGGAATACAATATCCATATCGAATTCATTTAAATTTGCTTCGACGATTTCAGTGGTGAGAGGGTCAACAGTAGTTTCCAGCATATTCAAATACAGTTCACCTGATAAATTTTGATCAATAAATAGAGGTCCTCTAATATGGTTTCCCAATATTTCTGCCCAAACGTTAATTTTTTCTGGATATTGGATATGTTTCCCGGAAAACATGAGGGTTGGTGTCACTCCAATAACGTATTTCTTTCAGTTTATATTTGAAATTAGTTGCTTTCTTTCATTGTACAGAAGTTTTTTGTGAAAAATGGAGAAGTAGAAAGTCAAATCAATATCAGTTTATAACACTGATAAGAAATGGCAGAATAACTCAGTTTTGCCAAGCTGATGGGAAATACAACCCATTTACTATGCCGCATTGTTAAAAGTGCACACACTTACAGTTTTTCTCAAATATATTCCACGTGAAGACAGCAATCAGTTATTACACTTCTCTTTATGTATTGGAATGAAATACTCAATTATGAAGAAAAAAATTTTTGCCTATAAAAAAATATAATAATAATATGTAGTAATAAATGGTCTTTATTTTATGTGGCGGAGTTTAGCAAAGCGCCATTCTTCCACTCAACCACGTTAAAAAAAAAAGAAACATTATAAAAAGTAAATGGCAATTTCAGGACAATATGTCCTCGCCTGAAAAAATCAAAAGAAAATAATTACCATTAATCCTCCATCTTTGGTGTAACCACCCATTAAGTTAACCCCTGCTGCACACCAAATTTTCATTTCTGGTGTAGTTTCAGCTAACGGTCTACAGTACACCGGAACAGGAACAGGAACGCCTCCGCTACTCTGCTTACCAGAGGATCCGGTACTAACCTTTCCTGGCAAACTCCAACCATAAGCTTGCAATCTTCCATCTTCTTTCCTTACATGAGCTCTTACTTGGCGATATTGCTCCCTCCTCTCTAAAGCTTTCCGCGTTGCAAGCTTTTCGAAACCTACAAATCGAAACAGTTTTATCACTTTCAACAAGTTTTTCTGAGTGTTACTTACTATTTGTAACTACTGTCAATCTGTTCTGTGTATACCATAGGCAAAGGACTTTTCACTATTGGTCCTATCTCAGAAACAATAATATTGGCTTCACAAAGAACATGCACAAAATAAAACAAAATATGGAATTAGTAGAATATATTAAACTCAACAGCCACAAATTGAACTTAATTATACTAATTATTGGTAACTATTAACAAATATCAGCATCAAGACTAGATTTCGTTTCATTTTGAGCCTTCAAAGAAATATTAATATGTAACAATCCACAAACATAATGAATACAATGGAATTAAAACTAGCATTTTGTCACTGAGATATTCAAGTCTAGAAACTATTAGAGGAAAACAACACTGCAACTTAAATAATTCTTAACTGTATTTTGAGATTTTCATATGGCTTTCACTTAATTATTGAATAACAATAACAATAGTTAACTAAACTAAATTATTCCGAAGAAACAAAATCTTTGGCAAGAATATGAAATTTAACGGCAATCAAATAAGAGAACATGGCAAAAATCATACTTCTTTCTTTGGGAAGAAGAATATTCTCATTTTTCAGAAACAAAAGTTTCAGTGATGTTTGAAATCAAAACACCCTAAATTGTATCAAGTACAATTATTCCGTGAAATTACAAAAATTCCTGAAGATAGATTTCAGTCATAAATTAAAAAAGGTTTTGTGAACAACCTGTACTTTTTTTACTGTCACTTGTATATTTGAATTAATGTTTAATACAAATCAAACTTAGTCAACTTCTAAAATACTTCCCCCCTCAAAGTGAATTGATCCATTTGAATTGAAAAGGGAATTAGTGATCAGTGTTTGGGAAAAAGTGTTTTGACTTACTACTTCTTCATCTTTATACAAAAAAGTGTGAAGAAAGTAATTAAGTTCAATATAAACTCTAGAGAAAGATGTGTAAATCATGCACATAAGTTTTTTTCAGCTACAAACTGAAAAAAAATCCTATTTGAAACAATTACTTTCAAACATATACACATTGAATGGCACGAAAATATTAATCAAATAAAACACAATCTTTTTAGTGTGTTTTTTGTGTGAATATTTTTGAGGAAAATCAATTATGAATAAAAATTATAATGTTGAATTCGAACATTAATCTAATATTTCAAACATGGGTCATAACTTTGTGATTTCGGTTTCAAAATCTTGTAGAGTGAAAAATAATCTGAAGATTGAATAAAACTCTGGAAGTCTTATTTCTGAAATATGTTCATATCTGTAAATGATTTGTCAATTGAATGATGTATTTCTAGAAGTCAGTATAAAATGGTAGTTATCATGTAAAAAATTGGAATGGATGGAATATGATGTTTAGGCTCTACATACAACAGAAACAACATGAAATTTGGCTTCTGCAAATGAATTCAAATAAATGACTTATTGACTTTCAAACTTAATAGTTGGAGACTGAAGTATTAATCCAAAACTCGAGAGGAAGTCGCATTGTGTGGTTCAATTCTTGATGATTTTCATACAAAACTACTTTTTCCAATTAGTTTTTGATTGGATTTTCATCAATATTATATCTACTATGAATTTTGTGGTTTATGAATTAATTATTGGTCTAATATATAAGATGTAAGTGTAATTGTTGAAGGTATGGATTCTTGCCCAGGTACAAGTTCCTTAATAAAACTATTTTACAGAAATCAACAGTATAAATAATACTATTATGAACGAACCAGGTTGTGATTGTGATAAAACAAGAAAAACTCAGAAATATTTCATTTCATAATAGCGTTCAAATGACAAAACTAAAACGTCCTCAAGGCTGCTTTGCCTACACAGAAACAGTAAATATTAACAAGATTCATCGGTATGCTCTTATCACAACAAACTTTATCACAGATATAAATTGACAGCAGGTACAAACAACTAAAATCAATCACAATTCCGTACCAATTTCAGGTTCAATAAAATCATGCCCCATTCTCGGTAACGCCTTGAATCCAGGTCCAATTTGACTCGTTGCTGTTTGGTATCTCAAATGAGGTACAACTAACGGTCGCTGGACTCTATCGTTACTACTAAAAAGGTTACTAAAAAACCTCCATATGCTCTTATTACTGTGTTTCTCGAAAGGGGCATCAGTTTTCGAAGCTCTCAACATTTCTGTCCAACGAACCGCTTCTTGAAGCTCCATAAAACGCTCCTAAAATATAATAATTATTTCCCAACATAAAATTTCAACACCGAAGGTGTTCTTACCTTATACTGATTTCGTTCCATAAGGACTCTAGCCATTTCAACTCTGGTGAATCTCTTCCTCTGAGCCATCGGAACATCAGATTCTTCATCAGCATCTTGCTTAGCCTCGTTTGCTTCCTTGGCCTTTTTCAATTCTTCTTCAAGTTCGGTTATTCTGTCTCTCAACTTGGTCCTCGACAGATTGAGGGATAATATCTCTTCCCTCAACATATCAATTTCTCCAGTTAACTCGTCAACTTTTACAATCAAGTCATCTTTCACTACGTTTAAAGCGTTTCTGAAACAACATAATTTGAGAAAAATTGAATATACATGGTTGAAAATATATACTTCGTTGCCATGAGCTCGTTGTTTTCCATTATGAGATTTTCAACTTCTTTGCCCATTCCTGAAAGATAAAATCGTTTCAAAAGGTAGGTATTGGTTGCTCTGTAAGATAGTTCAAGCGAAATTTATACTACATGACCTCAAAAATGTTCTCAATTTGTGATGACAGCTTGAAAATAATAATAATAATAATAAACGCCTTTTTATTGCTATTAGAGAATAGTACATAATTGGTTCATACATAGACTGTTGGCGAAGTCTAGCTCAAAGCTATTCCACCTAACCAACAGAGGGACAGAGCCCAAAAGGAAAAAAAATATAAATATATACCAACAAAACTGACTGACAGACTGTGAACCAATAGAAAACTATGAAATAAAAGAAAAAAATACATTATAAATTGTAAATGAAACATACAAATGGGTTATCCCTGCAAGAAGTTTCAAGTAGTATTATAATACAGTATTCCCCAAAGTCAATTTTTCTTTTTATTCAAATCATTATTTCTGAAATCGTAATAACAAAAAAAACTACAGAATGCCATAAATTATCTTGAAACTGTTAATCAAAGGAACGCAAAGTATATAAGTTATATTAGGTGTCCCAAAAGTATGGAAAAAGCGAAATAACTTTTAAAGAATGCATCTCAGTAAAAAAGTTCAAAGATTTTTCTCAGGCTACTCCTTATGACCTTGGTCATACTTTTTGTCACAGATTATGATAATGATAATATTCTTTATTGTGCAAGAAATAAATTATGACTGAAATGGGGAATGTTCCTCCTGACGAAAATCAAGTAGTTTTCATAAAAGAGCTCTAAAACAACGCATTTTAAACTTATCATTTCAACCTTTTTCTTTAGAAAATTATTTAAATACTTAAAAAAGAGGAATGAAATAATGCATTCAGCATTTAAAGGGGTTCGTTTCTATTTCACCATTTGGCAACATCGGTTATAGCTAATAAAGGACAATGAATCTGTTACCTGTATGACACAAAGATGACATATTTCAGAGGCGTGCTGTTCTGTTTACTTATGTTCCGAGTCATTCTGTGAATTATGACATTTTGTGCACCTTACCTATCTTCCTCTATATAAATAAATAACAAAACAACTGTTGTTTATGTGGCTTGTGGAGGAGGTATTGAACTATAATTTAAGGTAATATATCTTAGAGCCATTGTAAATGAATGAGTTTTTAATCAAAGTTGTAGAAAGAAGAAGTTCAAAATCACTGTTTTGGCGAGTATGTAATATGTTTGATGGGAGAGCCATAACTCTCTAAATATTTCTTTAAAATCAATACCGATTCTATAGTGATATTTTATGGGATTTAAATACCTCGAGTGAGTTTCAAATATAGAGTGATACACCATTTTAGCTGTAGAATACCCTAAATCTATCGATATCATCTTAACTCCATAACAAAAGAGAGCTTTTTTCAAATTTTGTTAAATCTTCATCGAATTTGAGTTTATTGTAAATATGGATTCCTGAAAATTATGCAGAGGTTTTTTTATTTGCTATCATATAAGTTGAAAAAACTTGAATGTTGAACCCCACTTAAACTTAAATTTTCATTAGTTCTTACTATTTGACTATGATTCAATAGGTATGACTATATCTATTGATAAGAAAGTTCTCTGAATCCATAATATTCAGGTTTTTGCACTAGTATTCCATGATCAGCACAATCAAATGCTTTAGTTAGATCACAGAAAACTGTTGCCATTACTCCAACTTTGATTCCGGTATAAAATTATACCATAACAGATTTTGTAGAAATATAACAAATTCATGGACTGCTATTGTAATAACATAATTATATGCTCAGAATTTTTCAAACGAACTGGCCGATTTGCTTTCACAAATAATTTGTAAATTGCTCTAAATATTACTGTTTCACCTTCGTGTTCCACATATTAACATATTTATCTATCAAATATGACAAAATTTACTATCAATAAAAATTTTGTAGATACTACAATCATGACTTTCTATTCTAGTGTGTTTTTTATATTTTTTATTTGTTTTTTACTCTCTCGTTCATTAATCTTTTGTTTCATTTTCATTTTAGTTTTACCTTCTATTTCTGCAAGTGAAAATATTTTTGAAGTCATGACTCAACATTCATTCCTTAATATTTTTGAAAGCATAGAAAACTACTTACCATAAAAGTTATCGTTGACTATCCAAAGCAAGGTTAAATGAAACAAAAAATGGTTAGTGAGTAAAATAAATTATTTGGCATCTACGCTCCTGGCAAAAGTTAATAGAGTTTTGCTAATATAAATTCAAAGAATTCGAGTTAGAAGATAACAGCGAAACAAGCATAAGTATATCATAATTAAACGGTCCATTTTCAAAAGGCTTGCAGTAATAAATAACTTGAAATGAATAATTCAAATAGCTTACTTTTTAGGCAGCCATAAATGAAAAAAAAATTGGCTTATCTTTGTTAGGTATTTCCTAAGTATGACGCTTGTAATACAAATTTTCCAGAAAAGTTGTTTCATATCATGCAATCAGTAATTATTACTGCACTACTCTCGAAAATTTACTATAATATAAGCAATGAACAATCCACAATAACTAGATAAGGGACATAAGATACTCTGTTGCATTGAATATTTGAAATAATAATATCCAGAGAAATATAATAATAAGAAAATAAAGATATTCTTGGCTTTTATTTTTGAAGAAAAAAAAAGGTATTCTATCACATTCATTACATTTTAGAGTATGTATTTATGCCTGTATAATAATGACCAAGATACGAACATTATTAGGCTATATAAGATAGTAAAAATATGTATCTTGTAGTAGATAATTTACGTTAATTCGAATTATTGTTTATACAAAATATCAGTTTTTATTCAAAAATAAATAAGGATCATTTCTCAATCAATATTTGTGTCAACGAATTTCCGTTTCAAAGTCACCCTCAAAAACAGTCAGTAANAAATAAATAAGGATCATTTCTCAATCAATATTTGTGTCATCGAATTTCCGTTTCAAAGTCACCCTCAAAAACAACCAGTAATGAAGAGAAACAAATGAAATCAGTGGGGTAAAAATAGGAAATTTTAGGTTTGCACAGTTTCTTATTGGGGGCAATATGTACACTACTGTGGCTGTCATTCAGGAATGACGTGTTAGGAATGACGTGTTAGGAATCACACGTTAAAAGGTAAGACCTCGTTAATCCTTAGCTCGCACAAGTTTCTCAACTTCTGAGAGTTGGGGGCGACAGCTCATTAACGGAAAAACAGATTTTAAACAGAAACAGAATATGTTTTTGTAAAAGGACCCTTCAGATTTCTGATTCAAAATGTGTAGCCTCACATCGAGTTATGGGTATTTATACCATTCACCAATTTATATCCGATATTTGGAAATAACTCAAAAAATAATTCGGTCTAGGTGAAGAAATTATTAACATTCTTTCAAATGTAAAAAAATAAAGTAGTTTATACAGTATATTTTCTTTCACAAGGTTCATGCTGATAATTCACCTACAAGAAGATAATTTCTGCCACTGGTACTGTACAGAAAAATGGAATGCTAAAATGTCCACAAACTAACATCAAGTCAAATGGAGAGAACGCACATATGACCACATGAATAATATAACTGTGGAAAAAGGGAACTTGTTAACAATGAAGTTGGAAAAATAACGGAGTTTATATACAGAAGAAAATAGTCGAGCCAATTTATCATAATTATGTTAAAACCCTACTTCAATGAATTTTTCGAAAAACTATAGGCTTATATGCACATCTTCATATAAGTTTGATAATCCTGTTCATTTATTAGAAAAAAACTTTTGAAAAATCAAATGCACTTCAAGAAGCTCCACAACTGACATTTTCATTAATTTTATTATGCTTATATTCCCAACGTTGTATTGAGGCATAGTGTAGAAATTACAATCCAAGCTATTTTTTTACCACTTTCATGCAAAATCATCTATAATAATTTAGGGCATGCTAACTTATCAAAAACTTACCTGAAGAAGCATATTCTCCTGGATGGACCCAACCTCCTACAAGTAAAAAAAAAGTTTTCATCGAATTTAAATTATCAAAATGAAATAATTACCGGTGATTTCACTGGCATCCTCATCTCCATCAATGTCCTGAAAAAGTTCATGGTAGTTATTAAAAATTGGTATGTCAAACTGAGCATAGCTTCTTACGTGATAACTAAGTTCTTGGTACAGAGTATTGGCGCTTCTTTGTTCTTTTTTTGTATTTATTCTACTATTATTATTTTGTGGAGGAGATTGCGGACTTATGGGGGAAGTGACAACACTCTTATTTTCCAAGTTCAGTGAATCTGTAGTCTGCCCCCTTTCCACCTTCTGAACACCATCCCTCATATTATCCAATTCACTATGCAAGCTGTGAAATTATCAGAAGATTTTAATTTGTCACCTTATTATTGTCATCAATTACCTCGGCGAAGAATGGGCGCTACTCAATGGCGAGGACGGCACACTCTCCACATTATCAGTATTCGCTAGTGATTCAAACCCAAATGAAATTGGTCCAGAACTTCTTCCCATACTGATTCTGTTAGAGTTCAATCTGCCAGAGTCAACCCTCTCGTTGGCTAACTGTTGACCAGAGTGTAATAATTTTGTTCTTTCCATGTACTCAACGTGTGTTTTGAATAATTCTGTGTATCTTTCGTGAAGTTTTGCATATTCTTTTTTGAGTTCCGTTTCTCTTTCCTCCAACCGTATGGCATGTTCCACGGAGTTTTTGTGTTTGATTTCCAACATTCTGACAATGCTCTCGAGAGCTTCAAGGCGGCTTGACAATTCTTTCCGCTCTCCTGAAAATCAACAAAATAATAAATTTAAAAATCAGATCAAATTATTTTTCTACCATTTAAAAATGAAGAAAACAACTTTCAAGTCACATTTTCCCAACCAAGCTCCCATCATCACCCGTTCTGGTGAAAAAATGTTTGTCAAGATTAATTTTAGCTCGAGGTTCTAGTGTCACCTATGAATAAATATAAAAACTAATATTTGACAAATAAACTCACAACTGATGCCTCCTCTTGTTCCTCCAAAGATCTGACACTCTGCTTAGAGACAGGTGTCGAACCATCACTGATAGTCTGATTTGAATTGTTATCATTTGGCAGATCTGAATTTTCTTCATTCAAATTCCATTCATTCAGATTTGTATTATTTAAGTTGGATTTATCCAAACTTGAAATTTCATCTTTTTCAGTTCCACTAGCACTCTCTTTATTTACAATGATCTCACTACTGCCTTCGATTTTGGTAAACGTCTGATAATAATCACTCGGACTAGCACCAGGTACACTGGCAATACACAAAATGTGATTCGAACAAACCCCAAAACTATTCAACAACTCGGCCGGATTGTTGGCGTCAATAACAGTCACTATACTTGCTGACATGGTAGTCGTACAGATCCAGACGAGGGATGACAAGCGTGTTTCTAATAAAGCACCTTCCTTTCCATTATTCAGTTCTTGATCTAAGGTTTCGATTTCATTTTGGGGGTGTTTCGGTGAAGGAAGTTTGGGTTGTTCTGAATAAAATACACTGCCGCCAACCTGAAAATGAAAAGCCTTCATATAAACTACTAGTACTATGTTGCTGTATCGCTGCTGTTCCAAGTTGAATTAAATAACTCTAATGAAAACACTCTACACGTCGAATTAAATGACCTCTTTTGAGTATAATTTATTGCAGGTAGCCAAATTTTATTATCAATTCCCTCTTCGTTTTGATTGAAATTGTTTGTTTTTGAATTTCTACCACCTCACGTTATAGCCTCACGATAATGTTTGAGTTCAAACATGATAACGTGTTGCTTTCTCAAAGTGCATGTTCCGCCACTGCTGATTTGTTGGTATGTCATCTGCGGCATACCAAAAATCACAGACATTTCTCATTATGGTTCCAATGCAAACCAATCTACAGCTACAAGGGATCCGGTATACTCCTGGAATTTCTAAAGGCGTTCTGAGAACCTTAGCTGTCTTCTAACTTCGAATACAATATCATTTTTCTTTTCCATTTTTTTATATTCTCCGAAATAACAATTCCATTCAAAAAAAACGAAAAACAGCATTTTTGTTTTCCCCGTATATCTCGAGAAGGGCGAGAGTCCCCGTAAATTTTCTTCGACTATTGTATTGTTCCCGATGACAGTTACCTTTTTTCCCCATTTAATTGTCTTCGTATCCGTTAAGGTTTAGAATATAGCAATGTTACCACATGATAAAAGAAACGACCTCTATATGAGTTGCAAAAAAATTATGAATGTACGGTAAATGAAACAATAAAACACATATAATAGTCTTAATGCAAGCATTCTTCAAAAAAAATTGAAATATCAGTAGATAAATGTGAGGTGAACATAAAATAAAAGTATACCTAATTATATAGTTCTTGCTAATTGAAATACAGTCGCGGGTAATGAATTTGTAGGTAATACTTTCAGCAATCATTTCATGAATTTTTATTGCCATACACCGAACTACGATGAAATTGAACTTTCTGCTCATGAAACAAAAACATTTTCATATATTCAACAATTCCTGTGAACATTTTTTTCATATTCAAAAACGTTTTCAAAACCTGCAGCAGACAGGTATTGATGAAATTAGTAGTAGCCAATATCGTATGCATTCTACTTTCGTATTTTATAATGATCAATGCTTCTTTAGGCTGACAGTAGATCAAGATTCTCATCGTTATAAAAAAATAAGATTCTATATTGAATTTATAGATATTTTTGGCAATATAAATAACACAAAAGAATAAAAATCTTTATTATCAGACTAATTGTTGTACATAGCATTCTACTCCATGAAGGATTTCCTAAATTTATATTTAGGTATGTTTTTTATAGTTTCTACCATTGTATTTATGTTTGTACAATAATTACTCATGTGTATTATTTTATGTTTGACCAAACAACTGTTTTTCAAACTAGTCCAACAAACTCTTGTATACTTTTTTATATTTGTACAGGAGTTTACAATGATCAATAACCTAATTTTGACTCTGAAAAGTAATAAAAAGGTTGGGATACTCTTTAAAAAAATGACTTTTGTGATTTTTTTTAATTTGACTTTCAAATTTTTTGTAGACACCTTCTATGAGAAATTGATGGTTTTTGGCATGTCATACAGTGCATTTTTGTGTCCCCGCCCCTTTTATTTTTTGAACGGGTCAACTCAGAAAATTGAAATTTGGAATAATGAAATCAGACTAATAATGACAGTTTATGTGTAAAGGCTGGCAGTGCAAACTACGCAATTTGGAATCTGCGAGACACTGTCTCTATAGAAGTTATAAAACTCATGTATCATGGACTGGTACAATCAAGGATACAGTATGGATTGATCTTCTGGGGTAACTCTGCATATACTGACCGCATTTTTAAGGTTCAGAAAAGAGTAATTCGCTGTATGAACAAATCTCGTCCACTGGACTCTTGTAAACCACTGTATAAAAAATTCAACATCCTACCATTGCCGTGCCTATACATATTACAGCTAGTGTTATTTATCTATGATAATAAACACCTATATCCAAAAAACTCTGATATACATAATTACGCTACTCGGGGCGAACATAGTTTATACCACCCCTACTCTCGCTTGAGTGTGAGTCAAAATTCCTCAAAATACTTAGGTATTAAATGTTTCAATAAAATAACAACTTTTATAGGGATTAATAAAAGTAGAACTGTAATGAAGAATGAACTATATGATTTCTTGTTGGATAACTGCATCTACAATATGAATGAATTTCTTGCTTTTAGTGCTTAGATAAATGACTTAGTTTTATTTTATACATGTAGTCTTCTCTGTTAAGTTTGTTCAAGGTCAAACATTTGTGTTTTGCTTTTAGCGTTTATTTCTAATGCATGAATACTTTATTTTGAAGTGAAATTGACAAATGATACTTTCAAGATGGCGACTGGGCGCCATCTGGGAAAAAAAATTAAATGGAAAGGGGGGGTCTTGTGATACATCATATTGAAGCTCCTAACGAATATTTCACAACCCTAGAATTAAATGGAAAATGGAAAGGGGGGGTCTTGTGATACATAATTTTAAAGCTCGTGACAAATACTTCACAATCCTAGAATAAGTCAATATCTTTACCTACTGCAAAATGGCGGAACATTCAATAATTTCCTGAAGAAAAACACATTACTATCGATATTTCTAAAAATATTTCTTTTTATCTGCCATATGGCAATTCCAACAACCCCTTAAGGTTTGTTAAGTTATGTTTTGTTTATAAAAACGACAAAAAATGAACATCATTGTTCAGTTAGAATATTCTCATTTAGTTTTCAGTTTTCCCAATATCCAGAAAAAAAATAACGTTTGGGCAGTAATATTGGGAAACCAAATTGTAGGACCTCTATTTATTGATCAAGTTTTAACAGGAGAACTGTATTTGAGAATGCTGGAAACTACTGTTGACCCTCTCATCACTGAAATCTTCGAAGCGAATTCTAATGAATTCGATATAGATATTGTATTCCAACAAAATGGAGAACCACCACATTACTCCAGACAAGTAAGAAACTATTTGGATACTACTTTTCCCGGTCGTTGGATTGGCCGTCGAGGTCCTACAGAATGGCCAGCCCGCTATTCGAAGCAAAAGGTGTACGAAACTGAACCTGCTTCAATATTGGAGATACGGCAGAAAATAATAAATATTTGTAAAGATATTGACGTTACTGTGTTCGAAAATGTTCGGCGTGAAATATCGTATGAACAGCCTTCATATGTCAAGAAGTTCAAGGCAACCATTTCGAGCATCTTCTGAACTGACCTCAAGCTTATTACCTCATATTATGTAGTTAAATGTCAGTGTATTGTTACGGTTTCAAAATCACTACCTCAATTTTTAGTAAACCCCCAGTAGATTTTATAATAGAAAAAGGGAAAGTCTATAAAATTCCACGTAGTTCATAGTTTACTTGATATATAACAAAAATAATTCATTTTGATTTATTATGACCCTATATATGCCAGGATTATGAAACGAGTCTTCTTATCTTTGCCTTGAATCGGCAGATTCACAAAGTTTATTTATAAGATATCGTTTTTTTTTCCCAAATAATTCATCTGTCCTTTATGATAGTTCATGTCATTTGACATTTCGAAACTTCAGAAAGAAAACGTCTCTTCCTTCTTTTTTTGGTTTTGGACCAGACACGGGAAGAAGATTACAATTTTGCGGATTTGAAAGAAGGTTTCAAAGTATTACTGAATCGAAAATTGATTTATCTCAAGGGAGATAATCAATTATCTACTGTCATAGGATTTATGTAGGAATTACTCGAAATTTTCGAATTGAAGTTTAACTTGTCGAAGAACTCTGACATCTCCAAGGCCACACTCCATCCCAGGTATGAACAAACATTTTGTGTTTTATTGATACTACCTACTTGCTTGCAAGAAATTATGTTCAGACATGTATGAATTTTTAGGCCTTCATTTTCCATTCGCCTGTTCGTTACTAACTGATAATACCCTTAAAATCTTCCAACTTTGAGAATAGCGGTTGGCGAATCTCCAATTCTTGGACACCTAAATGACTCACCACTGTTGGTAGCGACATTAAAGCAGATGATCGTAAGCCTCATGTCTCAAAGAAGGTAATATTGTTCCTTTTTATCGTTGATTTCAGCCTGAATGAGACACATTGGCATCACAGGAGTAACACTACCAAAACTGTCAGCGCTACTGCGTAACCCACTTCATCTAGCTAAAAAGTACCTACTTTTACTTAATATTGATTATATTACTATAGTGTATTGTATTGAAATTTCAAAACCTTTTCTCAGCTACCTTTGAACAATTGTAAACCGATGGTATGCATACTAGAGGGTAGATAATTTATCAATTGAATTAGACAACGAAGAAATCATTGTGACAAAATCCTTCGTTTTAATATAATTTATTTTTCCTTGTGAATAAATCAAACTTTGTAGATTGGTCACGGAAGTTAGAACTGAAATCTTCGTTACAATTTTTCTTTACCTTCTATTATTGTTAAAAAAAATAACTGTTTTTCTTTATTTTTGAATGACGCTCTCTTTTCCATAACTTTCATCAATAAAAGATTAGCAAATTAATTTACCCCTTTCTTGTTTCTTCATACCCACTCCCGTCTCCACTGTTGAACAGCTGGTAGGGCATTTGAGGAGGTAATAGTATACAGGCAATTATTAAATGTTCCGCCATTTTGTGTTAGGTGAAGATATTGACTTCATATTCTAGGGTTGTGAAGTATTCGCCAGGAGCTTCAAAATGATGGCGGTCGGTAGCCAGGCGGTTCGACATGGGTGCTTTGACTGCCGTGTTGGTCGGTAGTTCAAGCCCTAATCTGAACGATCGATTTTCACTTGCTATCGTCCAACCCGTGTTAGGAATCACACGTTAAAAGGTACAACCTCGTTAATCTTTAGCTCGCACAAGTTTCGACTTCTGAGGGTTGTCGTTCGTAAGGGTGCGACTGCTGGTTAACGGAAAAACAGATTTCAAACATATTTTAAACAGATGTATCACAAGACCCCCCCTTTCAATTTAATGTTTTTTCCAGATGGCGCCCAGTCGCCATTTTGGAAGTCTCATCTATCAATTTCACTTCAAAATAAAGTATTCATGCATTAATTTCATTATCCCAAATTTCAATTTTTTGAGTTGACCCGTTCAAAAAATAAAAAGGAGGAGGACATTAAAGAAATGCACTGTATAATTTGGACAGTTAATGGGTAAAATATAGAGCTGGAATTTGATGTAGAATATAAACCTACTTCCAGAATAACTGGACTTGAAACTTTTTTGAATGAATAGTAAATTTTCATTAATTTTTCCTCTATACTTTTTTTAATATCTATCGAAACAGTTCCCACAGAGCACCCTGTATAGGCATATCGAGTATATGTGTTCAGTTCATTTCATTTGATTTCTTTGTCCTTGTCACCCCAATGTTCAAATTTAGACATCAGCTATTCAAAGTCATAATCTCAAAGGTTGAACTCGAGTAACTATCAGACATCTAATAATACTCCAAGGAATTCAAGAATTCCATTCGACCTTTGACATCAACTGAAAACGTATAAACATAAAACACAATGCCAAGGCCAATGCCAGTAAACTAATTTATTTTATGGGTGAGAAAGAAAATTCTTCAAATGAAAGCAACCTCTAAATTTTCCAAAACATAAATAGTTCTGAATTCATACCATTTAAGGAAAGAACTCATTTATTTCAAATATTTGCAAAAGCCCTCATATCCTTTTTTGTTATTTTGATCAAATTGAATATCTTGCTAACAAACAAGATTTTAAAACTAACAACTATATCCATACATACCCTTTAAACCACACATATTGAACAATTAATGAGAAAAGAGACCTCTAAAATGACATGGAATTCAAATATCAGGCACATTAAAGGGAGTTTCAAGGATTCTTCTCCCTGCTCTGTCTCCATGTTCAATCTGTTGTGCATTTAGATATGTTGATGTTTCATTCATAAACTTTTGAATAAAATAGAAGGTGCTAGTAATCGCATGTTAAAAGGTAAGACCTCGTTAACTCTTAGGTTGACACACAAGATTCAGCTTCTGAGGATTATCTTTCAGCATTCTAACGGTAAAATACATTTTGAAAATTTGATAACATAGCCATCAAGCCACAATGCCATCAACACAAAAAAAGGAACAGGGAAGAAGTTAATACATTATTTCGTTTTTATCAGGCGTGTTCAGTACTAACTTAATTTTTACTTCGTGCATTCTAGTAATTTGAACATAATGACTTTTACAACCTAACTAATGAATTTTAAAATTTCTGGTAACCAAAATTATCTAAGCCTCATATTAATCATCATTAAAAAACAAATATAATAAAAGTAAATTTTTCAAATATATTTGGTCATTGAAATATTGTTCAAAATTCTTAAATACATTGATTTCTAAGCATTCCAAAACATGATTTTCAAATATGGAATTGGTTTTCACGTTCAAGGAACTACTTCTAAGTGATTTATCTGGATGAAGTTTTTTCAATTTGGCCATTAAATTGTTTAGGAAAAAAACAAAAGTTTTAATTGTTATCAATAATTATGCTCAAATTATTATTTGTTTGCGTTATATATTATGCGTTTTTCTCTCATTTTTTTCATGACAGCCATTTAAACAATCTTGTGCCATTTACTAGTTCGTACAGGTCCCTTGCTGGGACCTAAGCATAATTTAGGTTGTTCAAAAATTGTTTGCCTCCTGGAATCCAATGCATATCTGTCCCTTTGTTGCATTTTCTGCAGTTAAGTTTTCCGTTGTACAACCCTATTTTGTCCAGGTGTCCTCTCAATTGAGTGTTGAGTGACTAGCCCTGTAATTGTTCTTGAGCTGATCCCTGTTTTGTTGAAGCGGTTTTTTGGTACTCTTCTTGGACAGTTCCTTTATAAAGGTTTTTCCATGTTTGTAGAAAGTCTTTTTTAGATTATTTATGAGTTGAGTACAGTTTTTTGTTCCCTCAGGTCAGATGAACATTTTGATGTAAAAAGAAACCTCAGTTCCTCATTTTCAAATGTTTTCCATTTATTATATATTTTTAATGTGTTGAAAATGAAAACTAGGTTCATTGGCCTACGACAAATTGAATTTCAGCTTTAATATCGTCAGTTTTTTTTATTATTTTATCTAATTAATCATTTTTGACTTACCATATATACGCTATGTATCACAAATGGTGAATAAATATTTTTTTTACCGAAGTTTGCGGTGGTCAGGCCCTATCCCCTGAAGCCCCGATACATTCAAAAGGGCGCGCTAGTATTACCAACCAACGACCACTCCCCACGCCGTGAGATAAATGATCATTAGTTCCGAGAATCATGTGACCTGCGCAAGCGCAGTGAGCCAAGAATGACAGCCTTTTGCATCTGTCCTTAGTCCAGCAAGCCAGTATGATTAAGAGATTCGAGAGTAGAGAAGACATTATTCCACCAAGGACTTCAATAATCAGATCAACCTCTTGACAGAGTGGCCTGGATAGAGTTCGAAGAGAAAATCTCAATATTCTCTTCTCTTTCGGAAGATATTCGTGTCGCCAGAAGCTGAATACTCCACAACAAATATCGTCGTGCTCTGGTGGTCGAGAAGGACTACATCAGGCTTATTAGCTTGTATGAGCCTGATAGTGGCAAACGAATAGTTCCAATAAATTCGGCACTTCTCGTTCCCCACAACGGATTCAATATCCCCCGGAGCATAGGGCAACACCGATGTCTCATCAATACTGTAAGAGTGGCGTAGGTGGTAATAAAAGCACTCTTAGAACCGCGTTATGTGGATGGATATAGGTAGAGACCGCATATGCTGGACATGCTGACATAAAGTCCACTCGCGGCCTGGCTTATTATTATTATTGTCTGGCACACTCATCAGCTCTTTCGTTGCCTGAGCGTCCTGGCACCCAGTATATAGTCAATTTATTTCTTTCCACCAGTTTTTGAAAATGAAAGATTTGAACGTAGCATATAGAATAAATTATAATTTGAAGAAAATTTATATAGGCCAAACGGGGAGAACTTTCTCCAATTTCACGAACTATCTTTTGGTAGTTCAATCATGATTACGATTTGAAAGAGATAGGTTTAAAACTCAATCTTTTGGAATGCTTAGAAATGAATAGACTTGATAATTTCCAACAACTGCTCAATGCAAAAAAGAAATAAATAATTTCCCCTTCTTATATTTGTATTTAAAGACGAAATTAGTAGTTAGGATAGATTTTGATTATAGTAATGAGGCTCATTCAGATTTAATGTTTAATAAATGTACAATTTAATGAGTTTGTTACCAGAAATCATAAAACTTAGGTAGCAAAAGCATTATTTTAAAAGTAATAGAAAATATAAAAAGCATGATGTAGAAACTAAATTTTTACTAAAACCACCTGAAACAGCTATTGTAGTATAGTGAAACATATATTGCAGTAGTGAAACAGTTTTGTGAGCTTGTTTTTATTCATTTATTCATTTTTTCAGTATCCTCAGATTTTGTCCAAAAGAGAAGAGATCTGAATTTATTTGTTGTTTTGAAAGTTGCCCAGATATCATACATCAGAACATTAGACCACATTAGAAACAAAACAATATAAACAACATTCTTTTCTTAATGTTAGATGAAATCGTTTTGCTCTTGACATTTATGAAAATAAAATGCATACACATACACATGGTATAATGAAGGATATAGACAGCTGTATAGATTTCAAACATTATTGTGTAACATGAAAATTATTTTTAAAAAGATGAGATTTATGATGTAGGCCTAGATTTGTTATCGTTGACTACACCATTCACCATTTTCATTTCATCTGAGCAAATAAATTGTTCACAAGATAGAGCCATTCTTTATATTTGCAACCTCATCGTAAAAGAATCATGTGAGAATGTAACAACACTTGAAGAATCCACATATATTTATTTTTCCGGTAACAAGTGTAGTTTCATATGTATGTTTTATGTTGGCTTCCCTGTGTATTTATCATTATTGTTAATTGTTATATGTAGCTGATGTTTGTATAGAGTTTCATTTGCTGTTTTCATTGCATTGGTTTTAATATTTAGTTTTCCTAATATTAATTTGAAATATAGTAGTGAATTGGCACAGTGATAGTGCCTCCAACTCATGATCAAAAGGTCTATTCCAATTCAATTTTTCTCAAAAGAATGTATTTAGTTGAAGTTGGGATGATTCTGCCACGTTAAATGGCTGACAGGCTGTGAATAACCATTATGCTCCCTAGGTAGCTCGGGAAGTTATTCACCTAATCTACCCAGAACACGAAGTTAATGACTAAGCAGTCGATGCCTTCAACACAAAAAAAAAATTAATTTGAAATGATGTCAAAAACAGGGTTCCCAAATTGTGATGATAAGATTAAGGGACGTGTTTACAGTGCTCAAGTCTATTGTACCGGAGGTACAAATGCCATAGTGGCCTACTTAACATATATTTCTTTGGTTTAGAAGGTTTTATAAAATTTTATTTTTGTGAAAGATGAAATATTCATTTGAAATTTATATCAATCAACATAGTTTCTCAAATTATTCATTTAGATCCACAGCTTCTTTTTCTTTCTGAAAAAATCTTCCCACGCTCATTTCCTTTTCCGCTACAAGGATTTCAATGCAGTCTTTTACTGACGAAAATTCGTCGTATAAATCGTCTAGAGATACCCTATCATCAAGCTTCAACTGCTCGACGATAGACATCAAGTCATTGAATTAAGATTGTGATTTAATGCCATTGTTTTTAAAATAAATAGAGGATTGGCATCATTGAAATCAAACCATTTCTTCAAGTACTTTACGCTGTTTCCAAAAACAACTTGAATTCACCGCTTCAACTTTTTCTTTGCCTCCATTTAATTTTTTCATTGCCTTTCCAACAAAAGATCCGTAAACACTGTCTTCTTTTCTTTTTCCAATTTCTTGACTAACTTAACCATTATTTCATATATCTCAGTTGCTTGCAGCCTCAAAAACAGGTGACACATTACTAAGAAAATGGAAAACTATTGCGATGTCATTAGATTCACACTCTTCTACTACTATACTGTGCTTTCTTCATTTCAAAGCAACAATCTTTTAAGACACTTGGGAATATCCTCCCCTTGACTGATAAAGACAGGCTGTACATATTACACTGGTGAGGCGTGGCGTGGGCAGACAGACGATTCGTCAAATATTTTGTGTTCAAAATTAGTTTTATCAAATGAAATTGATCCTTCAGCAAAATATGAGACTTTTGCCGTCTCTTATCAAAGTTTAAGAATGATTACTATAACAACTGACACTAATGAAATACACATAGTAGCCAACTCATCTGATATGTTCCATTGACCATACCTGTATTGAATGGATCATCTAAGCATTTGCCATTTTTTGACAATTGTCAATCGTCTGAGTAAAAAATTATTTTTTTTAATTCATCTCATTCAACAGAAAAATCTTATTGACTACCTGAGTGGACTGTTTTTTTTCAGAAGTTAAAAATTATGCAGTAACTTTTAGCTGTACATTTTCCAGTTTCAGATATAACTAATTTCTGACATTCTGAAAAATGAAATTACGGGTAACAGAAAAGAAAGATTGACCCTTTCCATGAAGTTCAGCTATTTAAATCTGTTTAGCTTTCAACTAATATTGATAAAAGATATTTTTCAAAACTCGTTTTTTCATTATTATGAAGCTCAAGGTGAAATCATACTGTACACTTTGAAATTTCAATTATAAAGTTGTCGATGCCATTTCAAAAAATTATACAGAAGTCATATTAACAATATGTGCCATCATGAACTGTACTAGGGCAATGTAAATGCCCAATAGAAAAAAATCAAGAAACATCTGATAACTATTTGAAAGTGAAAACTAAATTAACAGCCAAATGATTATATTGAAAGGTAATGTCAATATAAATTTAGGTAGACATTAATTTGTTTAATTTTGCCTTATTAAAATTGATTATTATTGGTTAACTGAGTTTGTTTCCAAATACAATCTCCAATATTGAGGAACAACTTATTAAAAATATTGAAATAACTTTCCAATGTAGAGTTCACAGTAGCCCATGTCAAAATTGGAAATCAATTCTTTGCAATGATTAATGTATGGCAATTAATAATGTAAGAATGTTGGTAAACATAAGAATTCGTTATCCTTGTAATGTAAACACATAGTGATAACTTGAAATAACTTGTATACTTGGAAATGTTGCATTTGATAAAAATTAATATAAGCAACAAAAATTAGCTACTGAATGGCAAATTGTATTAATCACAATGGATATGGGACTAAATTGAAAATTGCAATTATTAGATCTCACCCTCTGCAATATCTTCGCATTCTAGTAATTTTTGTTCTGCTGTTTTTCTGGCTCCTTTTTCTCTTTCATACTGCGTAACAAGTTGTTCATTATCTTCACGAAGCAACTCCAATTCAACGTCATGCTCCTTTAAAGGATACAGTAGGTATTAATATGTTGTTGAAAGCTTAATATATCAGAAATTTACCTGATTTTGTTGATAGGCCGCATCTAAACATTCTAATACGTTCACAAGTAGTGGCATCAACGTTTTTACAACATCCTCATCATATCTGGCTATCATGCCTTCAAATTCCTGATAAATACTACCTGCAAGAGACTGAACTTTCTCTGACATGACAACATGGGAATCTTCATGGGTTCCATATACAGTCTCAGCTCCGAGTCCGAGACTGCCACCAGAATCTTCCAAATTCATGTCCAAATTATATTATTTCAGAAAGAGAAACCTATTTTACCAATTTGTTGTTGGCTCAAATCTCACATGTTAAATAAAACGATAACGTCATTGAAAACAACACATTTTTGAACTCATTATTATTTAGGCGCAGATGAGAATTTTCTTTGGCTGGCCAGATTTATTAACACCCACTACTTTTGACGAAATTCTTCACATTATTGACAATGACAATTTGACATTAAGACAAAAAGCAAAATGTTTTGTAGAAAGGATGATTTTTATCCTTCATCCAGTGTTGCCAACCATAATAAAACATTTCTAGTTATCTGAATCACAAAGCGTAGTTGTTTAGAATGAATCTAGTAATACGGTTGATTATTGACAGTAAATCGCGCAAAACTTTTCAAGTCTCAATTGTGCGACTACCTTTGACAGTTCAAAAACCGTTCAAATAGCGAACAGCTACAGAATTAGACCGTATTTCACTTCAAATATGTTCCAAACCACTAACCAGAGTTTTTGACGACGGCTGGTAATTGTGCCAGTCAATTGCTAAATATTTTCGATATAGAAAGTGGAAACCATGTAGTGTGGCCATAGGTTTTTCAATTAATTGATCTTCTAAAATTTAAACTGAAAATTGAATTTAGACGTCCTTTTTCAAGAGTTACATTGACATTCTGATGTATCGTCGAAGGAAGATGAATATATCAGAGGGCCTCTAATATCAAAGTATTTCAAGAGGTAACGATGAAAATATCTTCACTATTGTTGTCTTCAGTATGTTATCACTAGCATTTAATACAACAAATACATTGCTGAATGTAGAAAGGGATGATGAGCCGAATGTCTTGATATCAACCCTAGAGATAGTTTTATCGGACATAGCACTTGAAAACGGCAAACCATAGACACGTGTTTCGGGCTTTTGTTTGGTCTATCATCGGTATAGTGCAGCCAAGTGCAAGAATGGGTAACACTTGGTTACCAAAATGAGTGCAAATTCATAGAGCCATCAGCAGAAGCCAGCCGCACATTTATGGTTTGAGTTAACACAAGAATACTACTAAAATTAACACGGAGGTAGCTATATAGCTACCTGCGTGACATCCGGGTCCAGGAAATCATACAAAGATGATTCCCTGGATTTATATCAAAACACTCGGTATCAGTCTGGAGCTGTTTAACAGTGTCAGGCCCTTCACGAACAGTTTCTGAGGGGTGCAAGGGTCAGGCGGGAAAAAGAGAAAAGGTGGAGCTTGTAAGTAGCCAAGATATGTGCATAAACACAATATCGGTACAAAAGCAACTCGACAGTGGTAGTACGTAAAATACGTTGTAATCGTGTGTTTCTAGGTTTGCGGTTGGGTTATTGCTGTTTTATTTCGGTTTAGTTCAGTTCGTGCTTAGTATACATCAAAAGACAAATAGAAGGTTGTTGGACGATATGAATATGGAAAGCAAACATTGTTGGAGAGACGTTGTTCCTAAAAAAAGAATGAGTTTGAGTATAAGACGAATTAGTGCAAAAACAAGAATCGCTAGACTATCCCAACACAAGTAAATTAAAATTTTTGATTTTCAAAGAAATACTTTTGTGAACCGAAACTAGAATTTTATTGGAGGAGTGAATTTTTTTTCGAACAAATCTGACTACACTACTGGATGCACATAGTTTTGAAATGGTTCAAGTCCAAAATAGTTCGTGATGCGTTCGTCATCAAAAATGTTATGACATAAATTAAAATTCTAATAACATATCAAATTTCATTCCCTTACATTTTTCTAATGACGAATGCATTCTGATTCAATTTAGACATGCGCCAGTTCATAACTATGTGTGGTCTAATTTTTAAAAATCACAAAATTTATTATTATCAACATTGAAAAATATCACACAAGTTGACCCTGTAAATGAAGGCTCATTCATGAAGTTTGTTTGAACATGTTTCACACATTATTTAAATCTGTGTAATATCTTCATCAGAGAGTAAAAAATTGAGATTATAATGTTATATCAAATATATATATGTTCATTTGCGTTTGTTATTTCACTTAATAGATCTTGTGTATACATGAAAACTATTAAAATTACAACGGAGGCAGCTATAGCAACCTGCGGGGCATTCGGGTCCAAGATAAAAAAATTATGGATATTGAGTAATATGGTATCAATCAATGAAAAAAAATTGTACAAGCACTCATAGGAAAGTGGGCACACACGTATCAAAAAGGGAATGATCATACCACGGAAGTGATGCACTGTTTGCAACATTTAATATAGTCATGAATATTGCCGGGGTTTTATCCCAACACCAAACCGTTATTTTAACACTTCGTCACGTGTTTCGATCACCAAGTGATCATCTTCAAGAGGAAGAATAATCATCTTGATCGAAACATGTGTCGAGGTGTTAAAATAACAGTTTGGTATTGGGATAAAACTCCAGTAATATTCATACCATGGAAGGTGTGAAAAAATCTCTTAGGGTAACGCTTGATCATAATACATGCAGGTGTTGAAAATGCGTTTGTGTCTAACGTTTACTTCAGATGGAAATCAAATTGTAATACAGATGCAATGAAGCAATGGAAATCTCGTTGTGAACGTTGTGAATCTAAACACTTCCTGATGGAAACTATGTACCAACAGTAGGCGAAAATTTATATTATGTAAACACTAAACGGTAAAATAACTTTTCAAAACAAAACAGCGAGTTTCTATTAAAATATATTCACCAAAATTAATTGAACAAAAATAACAATACTGTTCGTAACAACGATCTGTATATGACTAAGTTTTCCCCAAAAATAAAATAACGACTGAAAAACCCACACTTCTTTTATACGATAAGCATTGTCTGATTTAGACAATGCAATAAGTAATTTTATGAATCACGACTTCCCAAGTCATACAATGCAAACACTTTTCTGGAGCGATAGTCGGTTATTACAATTATAATCATTAGGCAACCAATCCATACTGATAAATGTATAGTTATCAACGCTTGCCGAATTTATTTGAGCCAAAATTATTTTTCTAATTAATTGTACTTCCTGAGAAAAGTTGGTAGTGGACAATTACCATATCTCTTTATCATTCGCGCATCTTAGAGGCACAGCTAGGTTTGGCAAGTAGCCAAGTTGTATATAGTCTAATGAAGTGGCTGACTTATCTAAAATGCGGCTCGGTTCATCCATCACTTATTTCAGGCCCAGAAGTTCCAAGATATCATTTGCAGGTAGATGTTAAAATCACCCAAACAAAAAACTTCATTAACAGTTTTGTATTGATTGCTGTAACTTCAGTTTCAAATTTGTTAAAAAAAATTCAAATAATTTTGTTGTGGAGGTCTGTATATGACTCCAATACCAAAAATATTCGACATTAATCCAAATTTGCTCAACGTCATTTGATGTTTGGATTATGTATTGATGTTTAGAATCCCTCTTTTCCGTAAATGCCAACTCCCCCACCCTTGCTCTCTCTATCAGTACGGAAAAAGTGAAACCCATCAATATTATTTCATTCATTGATTTCATTACCCAACCCAAATGAGATACTAGTTAATATTTGGAACTGTTCAGTGTTGAAAAGTACCTGAGACTGTAACATTACAGTAAAAAACACGGTAGTTTCAAGCCCTGTACGGTAATGCGGTTACTGTACGAATTAAAACGGCAACCACTTCGCAAATAACTGCTAGTTTTCTGTCAACCGCTGGTGATACGAAACTCCAATAGAATCATATCAGATTTTGAATCAGAATTGTCCCGATCATATTATAGAAAAAATTAAGGAAATATGAAAATGGAGCAGGCAGTTCCGCACGAAATATAAAGAAGAGACTGTTTATTGATAAATAAGACTATTTATTGCATTACATTTTATTTTTGTTTCTGTTCTATTCATCCTATACTCGCGATATTGATTCAAAAATTCACCATTTGATATTTTTTTGTGACTTAAGGTGAGTTCGCAAAAAGCTGTATAATGCCGGAATCTTATAGTTACAGATTCGAAATTCCGGAAGTTTTCTGATTGCTGGTAATACAAGCTTCAAGGTTAAAAATTCGTATTTGCACGGATCAGGAAAACTCGAACATCGGATCTGTGACAATCCGTCCTCAGTATCTCATATTCAAGTGCATAAGTCCTGTCCATGGACTCAAACGCATCCAAAATTAGTGAAATTAGCAGTTATTATTTTCGTATAATTTTGTCTCATACTTGTGTCTGAGCTTTTCCCAATTGCTTATATATTACATGTTAATTGCATCGAAAATTTATGCTACGAATACTTTCGATCGAATTTTAACAAATTCCACAAAAAATCGTAAATTTCAATAGTTCGGACTTCCATTGTCTGATATGATATGATTTAAGTTAAAAAAAATAAGGATGAGTGATATCAAATCATTTTTACATCAGTTTTGCCAAAAGAATAAGGTAGAACCGACATTCGAAGTTAGACCAACCGGTAAGTAATTTATCGTATATATTCACTTTTAATAATTGAACAATTATTTTCAAGGGCCAAAACACCGGCAGAGGTTCCTTTGTGAGGTCCGCGTAGATGGCTATAATTATGTAGGTGCTGGAAATTCGACAAACAAGAAAGATGCTCAAAGTAATGCGTCCAAAGATTTTGTTTCTTTTCTTGTTCGTCAAGGTCTTGTAAATCAAAAAGATGTTCCCATTGAAATTGATGTTGCTCCAACAACCCCAACGATTCATCGTAAGTATATATTGATTATTTGATTTGCAGATATTATCGAATATTTGCAAGTTATATGTTTTAAGGACTTGCCTTAGTTTTGAAAAATTCACAAGTGGCTGTGGCTAATAACGAATCTATAAGTCAAAACTTGGCATTATGGTTTACTTTCGTAGATATGGCCATAAAAGAGAACATTTCAGGAACTCACTTATGTTAGGAACTGTTATTCGTCTATTTCAAATGTTTTCACAGAATAAAAAGCTTGTATTTCTCCAAAATTACCCTATTTTTGGAATCATGTTCTAAATGATATCAAAGTTTTAGTAGAGTTTTTCTTATCTATTGAAAATATTAGGAATTGTCAAAGTCAAGAAATGAAAATGATGTGGCCAAATTTCAAAAATTCACCTTAAAACAAAAAGATCAACCCTTTTTTAAAGTAAGTTTGATTTGGGATGAACATATCAATCAACTTAGCAGAAAATTAACTTCATCTTGAGGATTATTTCCAAACATTGTAGTAGTCCAAACTTCTCTGGGGCCTTTGCAGATATATTAAATGAGTGAATATAGATATATTTATTTGATCATGTTATGTATAAAATGCATTTATGACAAGTCAGAAAAACAAATAGATGCAAGGTACAAAGTTTTCTATAAAATAAAATAAACAGTAAAAATTTTTAAGAAGTTTACAGGGTACATTATAACGTATTCAAATTAAGTGGAATGAACACCTGCACTCGGGTTGTGAAAATGCATTAACCTCAAAATTTCGAGCGGATCGAGCAAGTGAGATGATCAAAGACAATTTTTCAAATGGCACATTTCCCAATTTACTGACGATTTCACTACGAAAACGGGCGAACACGTCGTCGCGCAGTCTCCGCCTTTATACTTGCCTTATTCACGGATAAATACCTATACTAAAACCAATAATGCCAATAATGATTGAGAGTAGAAGTAAGCTCAGTTGACAGCAAATCGGGGGCGTGCTTATTAATTTTTGAGAGGGTTAAGAATGAAAGAAAAATTCTTAGTACAATTAGTTAAAATATTCATACACATTTTTTATTTATTTCATTAAAACTTTGCAATATCGTAATTTACCTAATCGTTGTAGTCATTAGGTGGGCCTTATGAAAACGGAGTAATAATCGTGGTAATTATAGTAGGTACCAAATAAATTAACAATATTAATAAAAAACACAATATATATATATATATATATATATATATATATATATATATATATATATATATATATATATATATATATATATATATATATATATATATATATATATATATATATATATATATATATATATATATATATATATATATATATATATATATATATATATATATNTGAATTGGATACATATCACTCAATGTACAATCGAATGGTGGGTGCTTAGATATTTCTGCTAATTGCAGAAATAAATAAATATCCGATATCTGTCAAACGTCGCCCCTGCAGAGATATGCCTATACAAGACCTGAAAAAATAACATATAAGTTCATACCAGATAGATCAGAACGAATATATTTCTACCTTTGGGTAATCTTATCAGTCGTTTCCACATTTTGAACGGGTGAGGCTACGGCAGAGAGATATTTGCTACACATTGACTGAACATCATCACTGATATTATCACTGAAAAATAAATGTTTGATTAATCTGCTGATGTATCCACAAGGAAGTACTATGTATGTTTCATGGGAATAATGGATTACCTTTCCGAAACTTGAACAGATGTTGGAAAAGTGGAAACGAACTCTTCGTTTTTTTAGAATTGTCGGTAGTTGACTTTGTCCTACAAAAAACGAAATAATGATTTTTCTACTACCTACGACGAAGAGTCTTTCTAATCCACTTATGCTCATAAAATTCAATATTCCCTAATATCTTTTCTCAAGCAACCTGTAAGTACATTTTTATAATTCTATTATAATCTCTCCTACCTATGTTAATACAAACCTTTGTTTATACCTACAATCTGAAATCCCTTCTCTAACTGCCGATGTGGAACATGGCCATTTTGTAAAATTCATTCATTACGTTTCAAACCTTGTAACAGTACAGTTAGAATTAAATCTTGTCTTGTCTACAGTACATCTAGCTAGTTATTTTTCTTATCCTATCTTTTCACAAGAGTTATTGTAATTCTTGTGTGCATTGAGCATTCATACTTGCGATAAAACAATCGTGGGTCGAAACAGTATAAGACATAGTTTTGGTCAAGTGAGCAAAAAAAAAATGGTGTAACACAAGGGCTATTCATTGGAAAGTATTGTATCGGATACGTCCGTTCAGTCATACCTCTTAATAACCAATTATTTCAGGACATATATTTGTCCGAAATTTTATACAGAAACTAAAAAGGTATTACAATTCCATTCAAAAGGTTTTCAAAAAAATTGTCTGGGAGTACCTGAAAAACGTTAAGATATAAATTGTTTCCCGGAAATCCTAAGAACGAAAGGAAATTATGAATTTAAAGGAAATATATCCTAAAATGAAAATAATAGCATTATCAAAATGTTTCCTTTCCTAAAATTCCATATTAATACTTCAATTATGTGTTTTTTGATATACTGCTTTATAATAAAAACTGTTTTTGAGAGATATCCGAAAAGTTCAAATAATTATCAATAAATGAAACTTCGACAACCTGTATCCCAATAAACCATGGATCTAGAGACGTTCATATGAAAAGAACGCGATTTTTTTCTTCTATGAATGTAGAATCGGGCATGATTACTCGTTTTGTCATATAAAAAAAAAATTGNTTTCCTTATTCATCATGAGTTTTTTGACACTGAACTAGTGTAGTCATTTTACAAAAATATGCCATGAGAATTGTGACCATTACCAGCCGAATTCTGATGTGACTCACTCAAATAACTCAAAAATTTACCTTCAGGTGTAGTTGAGCTGATTCTTAGTTGTGATGTTCAACTTTTTTTTTCTACCTCACTAGTTTTCTGTGACTGACTGACTTCTATGAACCAATAAAAATTATTTATTTGTCCATCAATCCCAATTCCTGCATACTAGAAGTTACACTAACAAAAAAATTAAAACAAATGAAACTGTTAGATCCAAAACATTCAGAGACACACTATTGATAACTTTTAATTTGTACTGATTCCTATGTACCAACAAATTACAACTTCTAAACATTACAAATTGCAACTTCCAAACTTTGTTCACGCTTTACTTCCTTAGCTAATATGCATCCCTAAATTCAAAATCTAATCTTTTTAACCTCTTTTAATGTGAAATCAGCTTGTATTGCAATATTACACTTTTTATAAAACTTGTTTTCCATGTATTTTTATTATTTCAGTCAACCAACAATATGTAATCCTATTGAAAAAATTTTAAAAAGTAGCCTGAAGTAGTTAAAATGAATGTTTACCAAAGTTTTTTACAATTTTTTCGTTGCAGATGGCCAACAAGAAGACATGGCCAGTGGTCCGCAGCATTCAGTATTTGGTCAAGGGATGGGACCTTCTAGTTACGGGGAAGCTTACCGTCCTCGTGGCAGGGACGATAGTGATTGGCATCATATGGATAGGGCACAAGAACAAAAACGAATGGAAGAAGCTGAAGATTTAGATGTCAATGCACAGATTCATGGAAATTGGACGGTAGAAAACGCCAAATCTAAATTGCATCAGTTTATGCAGTCTAACAAGATACATGCTGACTACAAGTATACACAAGTAGGGCCTGATCATTCCAGGTTTGTTAAATTGAGAATATTTTACCTTTGCTTATTTTTTTTTAATTTAGTTTATAAGTAACATAGAAATCAAAAATATAGAAAACCAATGCCATATTGAAGTAATGTATCCTACTGTAGTATTTTGTACTAATGTATACTTGGCAGTATGGATACTGCTGTGCCAGGAGGTATTCAAGTAAAATGTAAATTGTTGCATTTGCATGAAGTGAGAACTACAAATTTATGGAATCCATGTCATATCAACATGCTTTGTTCGAAAATTCAATTTCACCATCATACATCTTGATGAAACTTGGCACAGATGTACACTGTATATATACATATAATACATATACATATAATACATGAGCCCAAATTGAAAGTTATTCTACCATGTGAGCTTATTACTCCTACTGTATTACTGCTGAATTATGTTTTTTTTGTAATACACCTGAACTATGTTTTTACTTGTTAGCTCTATATCTGACTTAAGGTTTTTTTCAATTACTCTCCTAGTTTGCTGAACACAAGTGTTCCACCTAATTTTTTGCTTAACTCTCCTAAATGTTTATTTTATTTTTTGTTTACTCGCTTCAGGTGTTTCTAGTTGATAAATTACTATTGTATTCATGTATATGTGTATATATGTATGTGTATTGTGTGTATATAGGCAGATATAAACTGTAACATGCTTGTTAATAATATTTAATATGTCTTGTTATTGGGATTTATTCCTGTTTAGACATTGAACAACTTTTTTTTTATATATACTAAGGAAAACCTATATAAACTTGTAGTTTTTAATGTCATCCCCTGTTTAAGTTATAACTATCTTAAGTTTATGAAAACCATCGGAAACCAATCTGTGATTATTTATTTTGTTTTGGTGTTCGAAACACATGTCGGGGTGTTAAAAATAACGGTTTGGTGTTGGGATAGAACTCCAGTAATATTCATCTAAAATGTCCTCAAATTGAATTTTTGTTCGCTCTTCTGATTCAACTCTTGGATAGCAAATCGAGTCGCTTTCATATTCACTCTTTTTAAGATAAATTGCTTTTTTACCTTTTATATAAAATTAGAGAAAAGTTTTATAAACTTAGGACTTACAGTTTAAATGAAGATCAAGGGGTAATGAAATGACATGAAAATTATGTGAAATTTAGAATAGATATAAACATATTAGTATGTCTTTGAGGACTGTTCAAAAATATTATTAAATCTTGTAACTGAAAATTACTCTGGTGCTGATTCCAGATCATTTTTTTAATGATCAAGTTTCTTGACCTCACTTTAAGCTTACTTCACAAGTGGAAGTTGTTTGACCACTTTGCAGTAAGCTGATTGTTTTTATTTTTTCTTTACGAGGTCCGGCTATTAAATAACAAGACTGCGCGCCTGGAGTGTGCCTTAGAGGGGTGGAAAAAAAACGAGTAGTGCGTTGGGTATCTGGAAATCTTCTCTATTCACGTACCAAAACACGTCTTCATGACTATTATAGTATTTTTGCAGTAGCGGTTTGAAACAAACGTGTTTTTCTCTCATCAATCTTATCAATCTTAAATTTCTTGTTAAGTTGAAAAAACTCTGACTGAGTGCTATAAATTGTTGCAAGAGGCCTATGGGGAGAATTCTCTATCTTGTGTGCGTGTTTTTGAGTGGTGTAAGCGCTTCAATGAGGGCTGAGAGAGCAAGGATGTCCAAATCAAAATTCAAGGCAATGTTGATCGTTATTTTTTTCGACATTAACGGTACCGTGATGATTGAATGGGTTCCAGAGGGTCAGATTGTCAACCAGACTTATTATTTGTCAGTTTTGGCAATACTGCGAGAACCAGTTCGTACGAAACGGTCCGAGTTGTGGAAGAACAACTCTTGGATTTGGCACCAGGACAACACACCTGCCCATAAAACGCTATCTATGAAGCGGTATTTGACCGATAAAAGCACTCCAGTGCTCGAACACGCGCCATACTCGCCAGATTTTCACCGTGAACTTTTTTTTGTTTCCGAAGATAATATCTGCTTGGAATTGACTCGATGATGCAGTAAAACAAAAAACGGCAGAGCTCTTGAAGGCCCTCGCCAAAAACTTCCAGCACTGCTTCAATCAATGGAAAAATCGTAAGGAAAGGTGTGTGGGGAGGGTAGTATATTGAAGTGGAGCATTCGAATGTAGAATAATTTTCATAATAAAACCCTTTTTCGTAACCAGTCTCATTATTTAATAGCCGGACCTCGTATATTTCTATGAATTCTATCAATGCAATTTGCAAAAAAAATGAGATTCCATTGAATTGGTTCATTGGCAACTTGAATTTTTTGCAATTTGTTATTTACATTTGAGTATAGAATTATTATAAAAACTAGACCAAGAGCAGTAGAACACAAGCGATAATGCATTATTTTGTTTATAGAATTGTAATAAGTCGGTTCTATGAACTTATATTCTGCAATTCAAAATACTTCTAAGAAAGATGTATTTTGAAAAGCATGTACAAAATTAAACATTTTTGAAATGAAATAACTCCTGTTAAATTTCTATAAATATTGAAGTCTGTTGAATTTCTGTAATGAATGGTGGATTCAATAATTAACCCAAACATCCTAGAAGATAACTGTTGAATAGTTTATAAAACAAAATTTTTGCACTTTGTCAATACAGGCATATCAACTTTATTCAATAAAATGCAACTTTTTAATTTTTTCATTGATGAAAACAGGTGTTATTTTAAATTAACAGTAAAAAAGAAATAATGCTTGCTCAAATATTAATTGCTCTTGGTTTATGTTTTCATACAGATTCTTTACCATACGACTAGATGTTGATACATCAGAATGTGAGTATACAAAAAAACATCTATGTTTGCACTCTTCATTTGTATTTTTTTTTTAGGACTTTTGTTGCTGAACTGAGTTTTTACGTGAAACAATTAGGACGAATCATTCATGGGCGTGATACTGGATCAAACAAGCAAACTGCAAGTAAAAGTTGTGCCCTATCAGTGGTTAGACAACTTTTTCATCTTGGAGTTATTGAAGCATTTTCAGGTGAATATTAAACGTTTTATCAGCAACTGTTTTTTAAAGAATTATACAGTGTCTCATAAGTCATATATCAAACTTGAAGGGGTGATAGGGGAGGCCATTTCCAATCAAAAATCTGTATTTACAAACATGTACATTTTTGAAAAGAGCAAAATTTATTGTAAAGAAGCCAAGGATATTTTTGATCATTTTTATTGAAAGTAAGTAGTAGGATAGTTGATCTATTATTTTCAGCAAGTGCAAAATAATTTCAGGCTTCACCTGAAATTTGAAGCCTACATTTATTTTCTTATTTTATGTCAAAATAATTTTGATTATGAAAAATGAGTGTTAAAACTTCCTGTGTTTTTATATCATTTGTATTTGAAACTAACGTTACTGCAATTTTATACAAGGGCATTTTCAAACGAATACAATAAACTGAAATAATCAACACTGTGAGTAATAATAATTTAATTTTAGTTTAATTCGATGTAAAGAGTGTTTTCTAGGGATGGCTTTAATTATTGATAATTGATAACGGTTATCAGTGTTATGATCTTCGTTCGGGTTTGAAGGCCGCCATGGTTTGGAACTGTATCACTGTCGAGGGTAGTACCAAGGTATTTCACCTCTTTAGAGAAGTTTAGTTTGCTTTTGAAGATTTCGGGAGGTTTTAAGCCCGATAAACTTCTTGTCCTGGTGAAAAGGACCATCTCAGTCTTCTTGGAATTGATCGACATGAGTGTTCCTTACACCATGTTTCTATTGATTTGAGCGCATTCTGCATTCTATCCCACAGTGTGGTGTCGCAAATTTGACGGTCTGCAAGATACCTATGTCATCTGCATATGCGATTGTGTAGAATCCATTATTGTTGAGGTGATTAATCAGGATATCCAGAACTATGTTCCAAAGAAGGGGTGATAAGACCCCTCCCTGTGGACATCCCCTCATGCCCAGTCCTCTCACTGTGATGTCTTCTACATTGATACTTAATGCTCTTCTAGAGAGCATCTTGAGTATCCATTCTCCTACTACCAGAGGTACATTCCTGGAGTTTAGTTGCTGGGTAATTGTCGATATCTATGAATATACCCAGGGTGGATTATTTGTTGTCCAATGATCTTTTGATTCTGCCAACCACATGGTGAAGGGTGGAATCAGTAGACCTTCCCGGAGTATATGCATGTTGATTTGGATGAAGTGGGTTGTGAACTAGTACTTCAATCTCTTATGTATCGTTCACATAGCCTCTCCATAGTTTTAAAAAAGAAGGATGTGAGACTAATTGGTCGGAATGCTTTTGGTAAGGTGTAGTCCATCCTACCTGGTTTGGATACCACTCATACTTCTCTCCACTTACTGGGAATATACCTCAGAGCTAAAGAGGCTCTGAATATTCCAACAAAATGCCGCATAAAAATATCCATTCCCCATTGAAGTAGGGCTGGTCTTATACCGTCAGGTCCTGGTGACTTGAGGGGGGAAAAGCCCGATATGGCCCATCTTATCTTGTCCTCATCAATCACTGCACTAGCAGATTGCCAGTCGTATTTTGAGGGTGTTCCGTCCAATTCGTCGTTCCAGGAAAGACAGAAGCTGGGAAGTGAGTTTCCATAAGAATATCAGCGCTCTCTTGGAGGTTGGAGGCTTTGTCGCCATTTTTCCTTTGTCAGGATGGTGGTCATTTGAGAGTGCCTTCTGTAGCCTAGAAGCTAGTGGGAAGTCTTCGACTGCCTCACAATAGGCTCTCCAGGCTTCTTTTTGCATTTGTCTACAGACTTTTTTGGACTCTCTGAGGTTGGCTTGATATATACCCCAGTCCTCTTCGAGTCTTGTACGTTTTACCTTGTTAAAGGTCGTTCTCGCTGTCTTCCTGAGGTGTTTCAGTTAAGGGCAACGCCATGTATTGGTTATGTCATCTGTTTGTTTTGGATAGATACTGTGTACCTTTCCAGTTCTTTATTATTGACATGAGTCAGGACCTCTGTTTTCCGCAGAGCTCCTTTTAAGAGTCCATTGTAGAGAGCTACAGCCGTCCTCTTCGGGTCACAGATTTTACAGTGGTTCTGAGATTCTGGCTTACTGTATAGGTCAACCAGCGGTGGTCTGACATAGATGATCCAGTCCTGGATTTTGTTTGATATTTTGGCTGTCGTCAGGGTGATATCTATTAATGTTTGGCTACGGGCGTTAATAAATGTCAGATCCGTGCCTTTGTTTAAGATTGTTAGATCTTTCTCGATTATATATTGATATAGGGACTTAACCCAAGGCGTTAATATCCTTGCTGCCCCAGCTCAAGTGGTGAGAGTTTGAGTCTCAACCCAATATAAGCTCCACTCTCTGGATGAGGCAGAGATCCACTAGTACCTCCATTTCTCTGGTCGGTGGTAGGGTGGCTGCATCCGAAGGGAGGTACACTGATGCGAGTATCAACGCCGTATATCCTTTTCCATCTGAACATTCCACTTTAACCACAGTAAGGTCTGAGATGTGTAATTGTGCCACCCAAAAGGCTCTGTAATTCCTAGGAATGTAAACAGCTATCCTAGGTTGCTGATTGCTTGGTAAGGTGAAGATTTGGCCATTTAGGCTACTGAAACCAGTAATTTTGGTCTTTATTATCCAGAGCTCCTGAATCAAAGCTATTGCATCCTCCAATACAACAAGGTTGTAACATAGTGTTGCCGTTGCCGCCTTTTTGTGTTGGAGGTTGCATTGTATTACATTCATCTTTTTTCCAACGTCCTTGCCCATGAGACAGTTGTTGGATTTGAAACCGTCTCCCCCCGCTAGGGGGGAGACGCTGTATTTAGGTGCCTCCTCCGTCAGGTCATCGACTGTCATCTGTTCAGACGCTTTGACTTCCTTTTCGGGGCCCATAGTGGCCTTGAGGTCAATATCCACTTTAGGTGGCTCGACTTCCAAAGACCTAGGATCTCCAGAGGTACCTCCTGCTTCTTTTCGTGTTGCTCTTATAATCAATGAGGTAAACGCGTAGCTTGTCCTCATCGACTTCTTCTTGAGGACAGACATATCATCGTCTCCAATCCCGAAAACGAAGAGGTGTCCTTGTGGGTTCACCTTCACCTCATGGTGGAAAGTGCACCATCTGACCACCGTCAGGTCAGGGTTCTGCGCCTTCAGCCGACCCAGCACCTTTTTTTTTCACCGGGTGTCGTCTTGTGGACGTCCTCCGGGATCCAGAGCGAGGCTTTGGTAAGCGTTGGGGGCTTATCCACACTGACGACTGCAAGTGATGTCTCCTCCCACGGCTTAATGTTCATTGTGGCTTTCTTCAGCCACTCTAGCGTCACGTCGTCATCGCAGATCACTCTGATGACTTCACCGGAGTATGTCCATGACTTGAACGTCGGCGGTTTGCTGTTGCTGCTGGAGACGGAGAAGATGATCTTGTCCAGCTCCTCCAGCAGTGGATTTTTGATGAGACTCTCCCGTTCTGCGGTAACCTTACCGTACAGATTAGTCTCATCTACGATGGCAACCTTGAAGTGTCTCACGGCGGCCTCCGCGAAGGTTTTGGGAGGTGCAGCGACATTACTGTCGTTGCGCGGCTTCTTCAACCTCCTTGGGATTCCCTCCGTATAGGTGCTCAAGTGAGGGCGCTTTCCTGTAGGGGCATCCGGTTCCTTGCCTTTACTCAAGGTGGAGCTCTTGACGCCCACCGCCGGAAGTGCCCTTGCTGTTAGAGGTGGAGTGGGGGAGGAGGAGGGTACACTTATAGTTGCTGCCATTCCTGCCTCTTTCGCTCTCTTTCTCCTTTTGGCCTCGGCGCCGCAAATGCGCTTATGCCTTGACCTTTGTATCACATCAAGAAGTGATCTGCTATATCCAGCCTTATTCCGAACGGTAGATAGGGTGGACATCCCCAGCCACCGCCATAGATTGAGATGAGCACTTCTGTCCAGCCTCGGGATTGGTTTTTGGTTGTATCTGTTTTTGTTTCTTTGTTTGTTATAATCATGTGTGTTCCCACGAGTAGCAAGGGAATATTTGGTCAACTCTGGCAGAGCCCCGCATTACCAGAGCAAGGCTGATTACAAGGAGGTTTCGCCCGGTTCCCCAAGGGGATCGATCGTAACCGCATATCACCCTGCGGCCAATCAGCTGTCGGAACGGTTCCTTACACCTCAGCTTGGCTAGGCTGGTCAATGGTGGCATGTTTCGCAAAGGCTTTTGGGAAGTTTGAGTTCCCCTCACCCTACTTATTTCTGCCACTGACCAGGAGTCCGGCGATCCTGTCGATCCCATCGTTAGGCCACATTGGCTTTCCGGGCAGGGCCCCCAGTCCCCTGGCCACCCGGGGACGCGCCCGATAGGTAGCCCAATCCATGGGATGTCTTCCCTATTATTTGCAATCTCTGAAAAGATACTCTTTAAATACTTTAATCTTCATCAGACAGGTTTTATATCTGTGGTGCAGGTAATCTTTTTGTATATGTGTACTCTTAATTTTCATGTTGATTCTACAGTTTTTTTATGTTGATATGCAAAACTATTTTCCTTGTGAGTTCACTTTTTATTGATGATTTTTTTTGGTGTGATGATTCAAATGAAGCTTGTGATCCAAGTTTATTTCACTGATGGTATTTGATTGCTAATCATGGTAATAGGAAAGTTTGGAATAAATTTATTAGTCTTTTCTAATTATCAGTAACGATTACTTTTCAATTCCATACTTTTAAGGAACCTTGAAGAAAGAAAGAAACCCGGCTTCTGAAATGAAACCATTTGAAGTAAGGATCTCTCCGCAACTGAAAAATCAAATTCAGGACTGTCTAGCAGAGCTGAATGTAACTCCAACCCCAGTTGTAAGAGAAAATGTAGAGAAAAGCGAAATACAACCGGTTTCTCTTTTGAACAATCATGTGTTGGATGATTTCCATCCATCTAAACCAACTGCTGCAGGAGTTGTTACGTGGTCTCCTCCACAACCAAACTGGAACTGTTGGACAGGTTGCAATATTGACGAAGGATATTTGGCAACGGCTACTTTGGAGCAGCTCAGTGAGCAGATGCTGAGAGAATCAAAAGAACGATCTGCCAACGATTCTAATTTGAGGCAGAGCATTCAGGATAGGCAGAGCCTTCCTGTCTACAGTATGAAGGGTGTCATCATGGAATCTATCAATGAACATCCAGTTATCATTATCAGGGGAAACACAGGATGTGGTGAGTATGCACTCTAATAATGCCTTAGTCTTTGATATCGGGAGGTTCTTTTTAATATGTAAATACTATGAGTGAATGTTCTTAATTTTTTACTCAAAATATCTTTGAATTTTTCATTGGAAACCAATTATGTGAATTTTACCAACGAAAATAGGGTAGTAGACGCAATTAACTCAGCTGCGTATGATTTTTTTTTTAAACAGTCAAAACTTGTGCGAGCTACGGACTAACGAGGTCTTACCTTTTAACGTGTGATTCCTAACACGGGTTGAACAATAGCAATGAATCATAAACAGTGTATAGATGCTTTTTGCTGGGATGGAAAAGGTCTTTCAAATTGGTGCTAATAACATTTTTCAGCATCTCTTTCAGTTTGCTACATTTTCTGTCAAAATTTGAGATATTTCCAACAGTGGATGTACTGAGAATTCTTTATTTCGGACTGGCACAGTCAGCTATGCAATATGGAATAATATTTTGGGGATCCTCAACTCACATACTAAGGGCTTTTTGTTCCCAAAAAGAAATCATTACAGTTATGAATAAAACTCACCCTTCAGAGTCTTGTAAGCCACTATTCCGAAATTCTAACTAAATATTGTATTGTCTATATTTTATCAATTTTAGACAATCTACTTTATATACAAATATCTTTTTGACTAGTCCGATAAGTTACTTATTCTGTAGTTTTCACCACACAATGTGTATTCTTTTATGATGAATAAATATGATTCTGATTCTTAATGATTGAACTCATGACTTTCTGTCAATAGATGTTTTGCAACTTTTGAATTGGTATTGAAAAAACTAAGTATTCTTTTATGCTTGTGGAGAAAATGTTCTCAGTCTGGCCAATATAAATTTTGGGACAAGAACCACAATTTAATAAAAATAATCCGTCTATCTGACACAGATGTTTTGTCATTAATGAATTTACACAATATTATTTGTTTTGTGGGCTATGTCCAAATCTTCGTTTTTTAGTGGGTTCAAAACAAAGTTATTGTCACACAATGCTTCCTATCGTTCTTTAAAATTGGATAGACCTGGCTCAAAGTTTTTCCTGTTGTTTTTTAGTCAATGATGTCCACCTTGTAACCATTATTGACAGCAGTTTATTTAATGAAACTTAACTCTCTTTGAAAATTGCTCTCTGAAAGTAAAGTATTCAATAGCATACTGTTGAGTCCTGCTATTTCATGAAAATATGGATGTGTAGATGAATCATGCGATATAATGATGAGTAAAAACTATTATTGCATTGAAAATAATTTTGAGATTTGTAAATCATTAGCAAAAATAGTTACTAATATAGAAATTATAAGTCAGTACCGTACAGTAATATGTTTTGCAATTGTGTACACTGTTCACTTGACAGTGAACATAAAGTGTTATTTAGGTACTTTATAATTGATTTTCATCAGGCAATTTATCACACTATTCATATTATGAAAATAACTCAATACATTTTTCATTGACATAAAAACAAATCAACCTAATACAAATGAATTGAAATTATCTCCTTTCTCATACAACAGCTTATTCTTATATCCAACATCACATATAGAGATCCAAGAAATCATTAATAAAACCACAAAAAGTACAGCCTCAGGAATAGATGATATACATGGTAAATCTCTTAAAAGTGTCAATGACATAATTTGTAAACCTCTATAATTTATTATAAATGAATCTTTATGTGACGGCAGATATCCAGAATCACTGAAAACATCAAAGTCTATACCCATATTTAAAAACAAGGTCTCCAAAATTGACGTAACCAACTATAGAAATATCTGTTTGCAATCGCAAATTGCCAAAGTTATCGACTATGCCTATTATTTGCGACTCCGTAAATTTGTTGAACACTATAAACTCATACCAGAATGTCAACATGGTTTTAGACAGCAAAAATCAACATCATCTGCCATATTCGAAATGTGTGACAACATCTACAAAAATCTCAATGATAAGAAATTTCCAATTGGTTTATTCTTTGATCTATACAATACAGTTGACCACAGTTTATTACTTGAGAAACTGTATAGAATGGGAATAAGAGGAGTAGCCAATGAATGGGTAGCATCATATTTATGTCAAAGGTCGCAAATAGTGGTAATAGATGAAATAAAATCACAACCAGCTTCTGTCTCATTAGAAGTTCCACAAGGCTCAACATTGGCTCCGCTTCTCTTTATAATATTTATGAGTTATATTGAAAATTCATGTGTATCTCCACAAAGAACAATAATATATGTTGATGATACCTATCAAATAGTAACAGAAAATGAACTTCTCCTCTCTGTTCAAGCTACAAATAAAACTGCTGATGAATTTTCACAATGGTGCACAAATAACAGTCTACTTGTTAATATAAATAAAACTGTTTTCATGAATCATCAACAAAAGAATCTTAATAATGATCATTGTTCACTAATAAAAATACATCACAGGATTAGTAATTGATCAGAAGTTAACTTGGCGAAAACACACAGATTATCTAATAACAAAACTGAGTAGAGTCTGCTTCATAATAAGACAACTACATGGAACAGTATCACTAGAAGTACTCAAATTGGCCTATTTTGGATTAGTACAATCTAATACCTCAAATGGATTAATATTCTGGGGAAACTCAGCATACCTAACAAAAGTGTTTGTTATCCAAAAAAAAAATAATTAGATGTATCGCTGGCATACATTGTAGACAATCATGCAAGACAGTTTTTTAAAGATCTAGCTATTTTAACACTACCGTCTTTATATATTTTGTTCTTAACTATGACTATCAAAAGAAATGAATCACACCATACAAAAAACAGTATGATACATGATCACAATACTCGCAGAGGAAATGAACTGAGACCACCTTACTCACGATTAGCCCTTGGGCAAGACTCGACAAGCTATCAAGGAGTCATATGTTATAACAAAGCAATTAGGAAATATTGAAAATTACAATACATTCAAAAAAGCTTTAATAGACCTATGGAACCTTCTCCTAGAAAATGCCTTTTACAATGTCAAAGAATTTTTAGATTTGAATGTATAAGCTGCTTTTTCTTCAGTTTGTGTGACTAGTCTGATAAATATTGTACCAGTAATGTATATGTTATATGTGTATGATATTTTAATGATGAATAAGTTCTATTCTATTCTATAATATTTGTTTGGGTTATCTTGACATATGAACATAAAATATGATTTCTCCAAATTTTGACTAACAATACTGAACTATAGCAATTAAGGCAGACCTTTTTGAGGTCAACAAAAAAAATTTTAGTAACACTTTATTGTGAGTTTTTCATTGGACAGTTGGCAAAACCGCAACATCATATGTTTCACTATACAATAGCTTCTTCTTCTTATGAATTTTCATCAAGTATCGGTCAATTCCATGAATTTTATCTTATAAATGTAAACTGACGTTATTGGTAATGTTCCCACCTTGTTTGACATGTCTCATGTTTTAAACACAATCTGAAGAGATTAAGTATCTATCTATCTTTCTATATAAAGGTTCAATAAGTTTTTTGATACTTTCAATTTTTATTTCCTGCCTATTTAGTTTTGACAAAATATTTCATTCTGTAATCAGAATTAACATTTAATCAATCAAAAGGGGGATATTATTTAGGAGAGGTTAGATTTTGGAAAAAAAAAATTTGGCTTTCTACTTCATTTTCACACAAAAAAGTGGGAAACTTCCCTAAGAGGAAAAAAAGCAATCTAGTTCAGAATAAAAACACTTTGCAAAGATGTGTGGATTATTCATAGAAGTTACTTTCAGCTACGAATTGGAAGAAAAAGCTCTTCTGAAAGTTTTCCACGTTTTTTGTATAAAGATGGAGAAGTAGAAAGCCAAAAAGTAATTCCTGTACTATTATAAAAAAGTTACGGAACTCTGAGGTAAACAAAAGTGTTTGAGATATCTGCCAGTAGTTTCGCAGTTAAGGAACTAGAGAAAATATTGTTATCAACGTCAGCGTACACTTTTTTCAGAGGAACAGAAAAAGTCATATGAAGTTTTTGAAATGAAATATAGAAAAGTGACTGGAAAAACAGCTTTGTTATTTACTGATTGCCTTCGAAAACTAATAGAATCTAAGTAACTCTAACTTTATTAAATCTCAATTCTTTGTTCAAGAGATAATGAATAAATTCAGGCACCACAGACGTAAAATTTCATTTTTTGTTTCCGAACTTCTCCAAAGCAACTATGAGTCTATCACATCAAATAAAGGAAATTCTTTCTACTGTAAGAACCTAGGATACTTCTATTTAAATCTTTTTTTTTTTTTTTGTTTAGGTAAAACAACTCAAGTGTGTCAGTTTATCCTAGAAGATTACATAATGTCTGGTCAAGGAGCCTGGTGTAACATTTGTGTGACTCAGCCAAGACGAATTTCAGCAGTTTCTGTATCAGAACGTGTGGCTAATGAAAAATGTGAGGAACTTGGTCAAAGTGTCGGATATTCTGTACGTTTTGAATCTGCCCTTCCAAGACCATACGGTTCCATTATGTTTTGTACTGTAGGAGTTTTGTTGAAAAAACTAGAGAATGGTCTAAGAGGCGTGAGTCATGTTATTGTAGATGAAATTCACGAAAGGGACGTCAACAGTGATTTTATAATGGTAGTTCTGAGAGATATGATTCATACTTATCCTGATTTGAGGGTTATTCTGATGTCTGCTACTATCGACACTACCTTGTTTTCAAAATATTTCAATAATTGCCCTGTTATCGAGATTCCTGGCAGAGCTTTTCCCGTAAAGCAGTATTTCTTAGAAGACGCCATTGAGTTGACGAAGTTTGTGCCACCAATAGATTCCAGAAAACGTAAATCTAAAGGAAAGGATGATGATGACGATGAAACTGCTGGTGTCGACGAACCTGATGAAAATTTGAACAAGGTACGTTTTTCTTTTTTGTTCTTATTTGAGAGTGAAGTCATTTATATTCATTAAATATTCAGTTTTTCAAGTTATTTTAGGTTAATTGTTCAACTAAATTTATACTTCTTGCATTTATAAACAAACAATTTTTATTTGGCATTATTATTGTGAAGGCAGCTTTCTGATGAATTGTTCATTTGTGAATTTGTGAGTTAGTTATTGATTTATTTATTTACAAGCCTACGCTTTTCATTTGATTAATTGTTAATAAAACAAAACCTAGGCAAAACAAGAATTACATGTAGTAGGAGTTACAAATTCATTTCAAATTCCTTAACTTAAAGTCAATCAGTAATATTGATTTACTCAAAATAAGGAATTATTTTTGAAAGTTTAAAATTGTATGTTTTAACGCTACTTCTGAACCAACAACAAAAAACTTTTTTTATTTAGTGGATTTTCTTTAGTTTTTCATGAAATTTCATTTAGTTCTGTAGGTGTTTTCTATTTCAACTTCTATAAACAATAATTTTTTTAAAAGAATTATTAAATTTGAAATTTTTTCTGTTGGATAAGAAATTACTAAACCCAACATGTTCAATTATTAAATAAGACAAATGACATCTATTGATCATATATTCAATGTTATCTTATACTCTTAAGGTGGAATTAACTTTTTAATTAATATCCAGTTTTATTTATTTATTTATCAATGGGCAACCCACAATAGTATACACATGTTCAGTAAATTTAAGGATGTCAACACATTTTTTTTTAATTTTTCTATCTTTTGATTTTTCTAATTTAGTCTGTATCATTGAGAAAAGCATCTGCAGAGACATACTTTTTCTATTTTACTTTATTGTACTGTTGTTTGGGGGGCGTTTTCAATAATGCCATCAATTGCTTGCGAACAAGGAGAATATATTAATAAAATCATGTTGAAGAGAAACCAGTGGTTTTCAACGTTTGATCTAAACAGAGAAACTGAAATCCCCCATATGACAGGTCAATATAGTTATCAGTGTTGACTATGAAGTTTTTTGTAACCTGCAGAGGTTTTGTTGTTCTACAAATGAATCAACTAGATCAACAAAAAATTTATTATATATTTATTTAGTATAAACGGGAAAACCCAAAGTTACAACAATGTAAAATATACATGTATAAAAAATATTCTTCAAAACAAAATGATAAATTAAACGATTGAAACCAACACATACAAGGCATAAATCCACAGACTAAATACATAATTGACTGCAGACTTTTTGAAGACCTCTAAGGAATAAGTAAAAAAATCAAGTTCTGATGCATTAGCTTCCCTTAACATTCTTGGCATTGGACTCTTAAATCCATAATTGGTAAATGTGCCATGGAGAAACCATGCTGTTGGTTTATTAGAGCACTGAGACGGTGCCAAATAAGCTGTTTGATTACGAGACAATAAAATATTTTAGGAATAACAGATGGTAAACTGAAGTCCCTAAAATTCCTAACATTGCTATTATCACCTGATTTGTGGATGGGTCTGATAAAGCTGCTTTTCCAGAACATGGGAAATTCACAAAGTGGAAAGTTCAGGGTACACACACATTGTTTCAATAACAGTGAAGGCACACCATCCTGTCCAAAGCCGAAACCAGTCCTCAGTGCAATCACTTCACTAAAAATGTCCGTTTGAGTTATCTAGCAATCAGCAAAAAGAATATAAAAAAAATCTGTTTTCTGTTTAAAATCTGTTTGTCCATTAATCAGCTGTCGCACCCATAAGAACGACAACTCTCAAAAGTTGAGAAACTTGTGCGAGCTAAGGACTAACGAGGTCTTACCTTTTAACGTGTGATTCCTAACACACGTGTGATTCCTAACACACGTGTGATTCCTAACACGGTAACACCAAAAGAAGTAATAATCTCCAATCTATTATGAAAAATGAGGGAAAAATAATTTAAATTGAAAATGAAATCACTTATCTCCTGAATTCTGAATTACTAAACTTATTTTTATTTTATTTTTTTCAACAAATTTCTCTATAATAAAAGTAACTATGTGTTCTTGATTTCTTTTGCCTTTTTTTTAATTCAACTACTAGATTTTAGTATTTTTAGAACACCAAATTAGGCTCAAACTGTATATAAGTGAACAACCAAAAAACACATTACAAGCATCTAAATGCCTAGATGCATTTTATTCATTTTCAATTTCGTTTATAATCTGCTTTTCCGTTAATCAGCTGTTTCCCCCATCAGAAGTTGAGAAACTTGTGCGAGCTAAGGACTAACGAGGTCTTACCTTTTAATGTGGGATTCCTAACACATTATGTAAAAAACTGGTGACTCTTTGATTTGAAATAAATTTTACCAGACAGGCCATTATCAAAAACTGCCTTGATTATAAAAAAAACATTTTTAATTAATGATTTAATAGTCCAATGTCAAGAATGTTAAGGGAAGGAAATGCATCGGAACTTAATTTTTTACATTCTCCTTGAAGGTCTTTAAAAAATCTGCAGTCGATTATGTATTTAGTCTATAGATTCATGGCTTGTATGTTTGTTAGTTTTCAGTGCTGGTGTTGGTTTTAATTGTTTTACTTAGCCTTTAGTTTTTGAGTTGCTTTTTATTTTATATATTTCTATATTCCTACGAATTTTGTAACGGTTTTTTGATTGAAGTATTTTTTTTACATGCAACGAGTTTTTCCCGTTTCTATCAGCACAATCATGGAATTTTACTATGGAATAGATTCTAGTATTGATACCATAAATAACTAAATTACTCAAAAGAAAATATAACACATTTTCTGCAACATATACTCAACAGGGAGAAGATTGCAGAAAACTTTGAATTGAATTTTTTTTTATATTTTGTGAATTTATTAAACATTGTTTTCTTATTCAGTATACACCAGTTAGATTATAGCATATTTCACTAAAAAATGTACATGTATGTTGGGTCAGCCTATTTAAATTTAGATCTTTTTTTGCAGGTTGTGGGTGGTAACTACTCTGAAACGACGAAGAATGTTATGGGGCGTTTGAATGAAAAAGAAATCAGCTTCGAGCTTCTCGAAGCACTTTTGGATTATATCAAGAGCCAATCGATACCGGGTGCTGTTTTAGTGTTCCTTCCTGGTTGGAATCTTATTTTCGCTATGATGAAACACTTGCAAGGTCATCCAGTTTACGGAGGAAATCAATTCTGTATATTACCTTTACATTCACAGATTCCCAGAGAAGACCAAAGAAAGGTATTTCAACCTGTTCCTGAGCACATCACGAAAGTCATATTAGCAACAAACATCGCTGAAACTTCCATCACAATCAATGATGTTGTGTTTGTTATTGACAGTTGCAAAGCTAAAATGAAGATGTTCACCTCACACAATAACATGACTAGCTACGCTACCGTGTGGGCCTCTCGGACGAATCTGGAGCAGAGGAAGGGTCGTGCTGGACGTGTCAGGCCCGGTATATGTTTCCACCTTTGCTCGAAAGCTAGATACGACAAACTGGACGAGCACATGACTCCGGAAATGTTCCGAACCCCTCTTCACGAGTTGGCTCTCAGCATTAAATTGCTGAGATTGGGGTCTATTGGTCATTTTCTGAGTAAAGCTATTGAACCTCCTCCGTTGGATGCCGTTATTGAAGCTGAAGTATTACTCAGAGAAATGAAATGTCTGGATCAAAATGATGAGTTGACACCACTTGGAAGAATTATTGCAAAGTTGCCAATTGAACCAAGGTTGGGGAAAATGATGGTGTTGGGATGTATTTTTATGTGTGGAGGACCTTTGGCCACAATGGCCGCGAATTCGTCAACATTCCCGGAAATATTCGCATTGGAAATGGGACAAAGAAGACTGAGCTATCGCCAGAAGTCACTGGCAGGTGACAGGCATTCTGATCATGTGGCCATGCTGACTGCTTTTGAGGTAAGTTCTTTGATTTTTGGGACATTCAAATAAATATAGTTGATAATCAGTGAAAATGGTGAATAGTTAAAGATAAATGTAGTATTAATTGCATATTTCTCTCTGCAAATATGTCCTACATGTTGTTAACAAGCTTAAGAATACATATTATTATTAGTATTAGGAAAAACAGGTCAGCACAAGATGTTTCCTGCTACTTGCAAACAATAGGTGTTTAAAGATGATACTGTCATTATATACGAAGACACCTGACAAAAACTGAAAAAAAAAACTTTAAATAACTTTCCTCACATTATAAAATGGCTGAATCATAGACTGCTTTCGATAAACCTAAAAAAAAACGTTTACCTACCTTTTTACAGCAACAAAATAGGTCTTCCGCATTTCAATCAAATCACACTGGATGATAACTTCACCATACTCTCAGCAAATAAAATGAAATACCTTGGAATTATAATTGATAAACATTTAAAATGGAACTCACAGGTAGAATATCTGGTAAAAAAACTCCGATGCATTTTGTACAGATTCAAAATACTTTCAGGAATATTCGATACAAAACAACTTAAAATTATATATATGAGTTTAGTAGAATCTCATTTGAACTACGCTATTATAGGATGGGGAGGAGTCTCTAAAAGCCATCTTAAGCATCTTGAAGAGGCACAAAAACGTTTTTTGAGAATGACTTTCGAAAGAAATAATAGATATTCAAGCGACGCTCTTTATGAAGAGTCTAATATGTTTGATCTGAGACAATTATTTTTTATTAGCATAACTACAACACAGTTCTTAAATAAAAATGAACTCCAGAAACCATCTCATGCTTGTACAACAAGGCAAATGGATATAACTTCTCAATACCCTTCGCATCCAAATCAATTGGTCAAAACTGTTACAGAGTCCTAGCTCCAAAGGCATTTCATATACTTCCTGAAGAATTGAAAAACGAGACTTCCAAATTCAGATTCAAGAAAGGAATAAAACTGAATATATTGGCATGGGGCATATTAATCTGAATATATTGGCATGGGGTCGAGCAAGAGAATTCTTGAGAGTGTTTGTTTCCCAAAAGCGTCTAGTAAGACTGATTTTTAACTTGAATTATCAAGACAGTTGTCGATCTATCTTTAAAGAAAATAAAATTCTTACGGTGCCTGCTGTGTACATTTTTCGATGTATTATCTTTAGCTTTCAAAATAAACTGTCGTATACAGGATGTTGTCTATTTATCGTTTTAGCAAATTTTTAAAACTATAAAATATTGGAATATTGAAAAACTCAGACAATATTACTTCATGATGCACTAATTCTATTAATTCTATTTTTAAAATTGTGATTTTCATATATTATTGTTGTATCGTATGTATTGTTGTGTTTGTCTAATGTTGTATATATTCACCGTTGATTTAATTGGGATATATATGTATATTACGGTTACCTATTTTTAAATAAAGATCTATCTATCTATCTATCTATCTAACTGGATATTTGAATATATTCTATTATCCTTTTTAAACATTATTTTCTTATTAATTAAAGAATACAAAGTTATTTCCGAAACATAGGCTTTCACAACCTAAATCATGATTGAAGAAATCAAAATCTGGGCTGGTGGGCCGTGGTCGAACGGAACCTGTAGCACAAAATGTTTTGTCTGATACAGCGACAGACGTATAAATCAAATCATGGTTTGTCGTTTTAGTACATTAGGTATAATTTTGAGGATAAACTGTAATTTAATTTTTCTTTTTTTTTATGAATTAATCTGAAAATATGTTTGTTGGTTAGCTTTGGGATCATGCTAGAGAAGGAGGCGAAGATGCAGAACAGAGATTCTGCGAATTCAAAGGAATCAGCATGCCAACCATGAGAGTAACTTGGGAGGCAAAACACCAGCTTCAGCAAATCTTGAATAATGTTGGTTTTCCAGAAGAAACAATGGCTCCTCTGCCGATGGAAACTGTGGGGCCTGATCCAAGATTGGATGTAGTGATGTCGCTCATGTGCTACGGATTGTATCCGAATGTTTGTTATCATAAGGAAAAGAGAAAGGTAAATTGAATTGAAATATTCATTTTGTTTTGGAGAGAATCACTTAAATGTTACAATTTTTCAGGTATTGACAACTGAAAGCAAAGCTGCTCTTATCCACAAAACTTCAGTCAACTGCAGCAACCAAGACCAGGGCTTTCCATATCCATTCTTTGTATTTGGCGAAAAGATCAGAACTAGAGCAGTGTCATGCAAACAGATGACCATGGTGACACCTCTTCATCTCTTGTTGTTTGGTTCCAGGAAGGTTGACTGGGTGGACGGAGTTGTCAGGTTAGACAATTGGATAAATCTGGACATGGATCCGCAGGTCGCTTCGATGGTTGTTGCCTTGAGACCAGCTTTGGAAAGTTTGGTTATCAGAGCTTCAAAGGAGCCCGAACAGATTTTGGAAATGGGACCTGTTGATTTGAAGGTAAATATTAATTTTTGTAGAATATCTGAATATAGATTGATGAATTTAGCCGTTACTATGTGGTAGGAAATCATAATGAAAAAAGAGAAATGAAACTTCCTATGTTTTTATATCACTTATATGTAACTATATCAGTTTCGCCCTATAGGGAGGAAACTGTCATCATTAATATACTTCGGCATTGTTCGGATTTGAATCATTAATATGCCTTGATGAATGAACAGAACTTCGATTTGTTTATTGCGAAAGTGTGGTTTAACTGATTCTTTGTAATTCCATATATGAAAAAAGTGGACTTGTAAGTTTATTTTTTCCTGCAACTGGATTACTCTTTTCTACTTCAATGTTATTTTTACATTATTTTTGTTCTGTGGTTGTTTTAAAAATGTTCTATAAACTCTAGTTATTTGTAGGGACACACCGGGTATCCAGTCAATACTCGGTTTTGACAATACCCAGCCACACAACAAAGAAACCGGTTTACCCAGATTCACCCGGTACCAATCAGTAATTGCACAAGTTTATAATAATAATAATAGAAGTTATTCATCAATCAAAGGTTATACAAGGCATTATACATACACACATGCATAACACTTATCAGACTAGTCAAAAAATAAAAGAAGGTAATCTACAAATAAATTGTTAAGATAGTATAAGTATAGTCGTAAAACAAACTAGAAAAATTGTACATACAATAGTCAGTCTCACAATTATGAGATATCACAAATTATAAAATTCTTCAACATTATATAATACTTTTTCAAGAAGAACATTTTTCAATTTATTTTTGAATAGAATGTCATTCAGATTCACATCTATCAAATCTCTTATTTTATTGAAACACTTGATACCAATATGCTTTGGTGAATTTTCACAGACTAATAACCTGGAATAGGGTTGTCGAAGTTTTTCTTCATTCCTAGTTTATACATACGAGTGTCTTCATTCCTGATTAGGTCATTTTTGGTTACGTTTTATGTACATAATCAGTTCAAGAATATATAAACATGGAAGGGTTAGTATTTGGAGATTCTTGAATAAAGGTTTACATGTTGTGGTTGGATGAGCATGACAAATCATTCTAATTATCCTTTTTTGAGATACAAATGCCCTTTCAAAGTGACAAGACGACCCACAGAAGATCACGTCATATTGTAGAGTAGACTACCATCCCAAAATATAATAGTCTCAAGATGTCTGCTGATACAGTATCTCGCAGATTTTTTATTATATAGCATATAGTGCTCAGTTTCGAACATACAGTATTTATGTGTGCTTCCCATCTTAGCTTACTATCCAAATTAATACCTAAGAACTTGATGGTTTCCATATATTGTATAGATTTACCAGATAAGGTTAAGTATAGGTCTTAATTTGGATTCATGTTTTTTTTGCAAGAACCAGACATAATTGGTTTTTGCTATTCAGTCTGAGGCCATTCTCAAGGCTATACCTTTCTATTTCATTAGATGCCTTGTTACTTAATTTTGTTAATTGATCAATGTTATTGTGTGACATCAGAATATTAGTGTCATCGGCAATGTCACTCAGAAAAGCTACAAAGAATAGTGGTCCCAGGATTGAACCCTGTGGAACCCCTGATTTTTTTTATTCATACATTTAAATTCAAACACAAAATTACCATTGATTATAGAAAAACTATAAACTCAACATGTTGTAAAACATTAGGAATTAATACTAATAGGATTATTTTTTCATGAATACAAATATCAATTGAACTCACATCATACTTTTGGCAAATTTGGGACTGTTTAGGGAACTGCTTGCAGTTTTCTTTCCACCAGAGAATTGGTGAATCCTTTCTGTCTAATAAATCAATATTTAAATATTGTTCAACTTCTAAGGTTAGCAGTTTTTCATATTCACTGGTATTCCCTGATGCTGGTTTTGGTTTTTGTGCTATTTTTTTAAAAGCATCCCAAACAGTTTTAGTTCTCTTTGCAAAGAGCGCTAAGGGTATATGCTCTTCATGATTGCTAACACTATTACTTTCAAACTCATGCTGACTGCAGTTGTTTTTATCAGTACTATTACCAGCAATGACATCAGTGACATTATCAGCATCATTTTGGTTTCTATTGGGTACTTACTGTAAATGCAAAATACTCACTTTTCTCAGGATAGTTAGTTTCCACGTTGAGTCTGAGTATTCCATTTTTAACCATTTCTTTTTATCTTCTTCAAAAAATATCATTTAAACCATGGGTCTAAAAATGTCCTGGCGACGCCAAGTTCAAGTAATATATAAACATATCTTTCATGTCTTCTACCAATGGATCTTCAAAATGTAAATCTTCTAGACTTCTTCTGACGATCAGTATTATTCTGTTTTTATAACATTATAAAGTTAGGTTATGTGCATCCGTTCGCAAGCCAATTTACAGCTGTGTACCCGGTACTAGGTATTTATTACTTGGCCTAGCCGTACTTGGTATCCACTTTGTGAATTTTAGATCAAACTCGTTACCCGGTATTGTAAAAATTACTACCCGGTGCATCCTTAGTTATTTGTGTTTTTCTCTATATATTGGGGTATTCATTTAGGGTTTTTAAAACTTAGACCAGGAAGTAAAAATTTTAAATTTTCCCTTCCTAGGTACGAAGATGGGATATATTAATATTGAGACATTCTTATTCTTCTGATTTTTTATATTTACAATGTAAATATGTATAAATAAGTGGTTAATTCTTTTCATACAGAATAAACATCTCGGGTGATCATTACTGAATTTTGAATTTTTCAGGTTGTTTCTACGATAAAGGAACTATGTAAACTACACGCGGGAAGTTTTGAAATCGAAAGGGCAAAAAGCAGCATACTTTCATCGAATAGACCACCAAGAGGTCATTCTATTGGTGGATATAGTGGTCCTCCTCCTAAATTCTTCAGGGGAGGTCGAGGAGGATATAATAGTGGTGGAGGATACAATAATGGCGGAGGATACAATGGTAGAGGTGGTGGATATGGAGGGGGATTCAGAGGCGGCCGAGGTGGTTTTGGAGGCCGGGGTGGCGGATATGGTGATGGCTCAGGTAGTGGGTACAGAGGCGGGAGAGGAGGTTTCAGGGGTGGTTATTAATTTGAATGAATGTTGATTGTAGTACTAGGAAAATTTCTGCATTCAATTTCGTGGATATAGTAATACTGAATGTATTCAACTTTGTTACTATTTATAAAAATAATTTTTTAGTTGAACCTGCTCAGTCATTACATGTAATGTAATCAACTGATGAGTTTTTATAATTTATTAAAATTATTTGAATTGAATTTTGTGTCTTCTTTATTGTTAATGAAATTATCTATGCTAAAAAGCATAGATAAAAAGCTGTTCCCAAGCACCAGAACAAACATTATTCTCTTCTGGTGTGGAAACAGAGATATTCTACGGCATAGGTTCCAGTTCTACCTTTCATTCCATTTAATTATGATAAAATATCCATATATTATTATCATATACTTAACAAGTTGAATTGAACAGACATATTGAGTTGTACTCAGTAAAACATTCGAAAGTATTGATCCAAAAACTGTTTTCAAAGAGTATATTCACAGCGTGTCCACGAAGGACTTTCCTTCACATTTGCGCATAAAAAAGTAGTTTTTTCTCATAAATAAATATCATATATCAATAACTGGAATTAACCAGAAACCTACGGTGTAGGTAGTTGGGAGAGATGAATGTTCTGAGATGTCTGTCAGATATAATTCAATAGCTAGTGTGGTATTAGCTGGAGAAGTAATTGTTTTCCGGCAGGCATTTACCAAAACCTACAGATATGGTAGTTGGGAGAGATGATTATTTCGAGATTTTATTTCAAAATATTTATTTTCTAATACATACTCTAATACATAATCCTCGATACAGTCTTCAGGCACTTTTTAACTAAAAAGGTCAATAAAGTACACAAAATAAGCCAGATATAGGATAAAAATTCCAGTAGCGAATACTTCTTGAAATACTATGGGCGAGAAGAAAAAAATAGCTGCAATAGATGGCTTATACAGCTTTATGGAAAAAGTAAACATTAGTCTTTGCAGTCTTGAACTCAAAACATGTATTAGCACAAGAATAGTTCTGTGAGAAGCTAAAAAAAATTGAGAAAGCCGAAAATAGAGATCAAAGAAAGAATAGCTTTGATAGATAGCAATATGAAAAATTCCAACTTATTTTTTAAGGATTTAAAATAATAAATTTGGAAAAACTATTAGAGAAATTTTGGAAGTCCCACTCAAATTATGATATAAAAAAATAATTGAAAACGACTACTAATTTTGATTGCATTTCATTCCCAACGGATGAAAAATCATCAAACAGCTACAAATTGAAAATTACAGGAATTTATACATTAGATTCTCTCAGTCAAGAAGATCTGGAAAAGAGGAAAATTCTTTTTCACCATTTCAGTTTAACTAGAAGTGAAATAAAAGGGGCAAAATTAAAAGAGAACAAGTTTTGCATAGAGGAAACCAATATAGTGACATAATTCAAATCTGGAACATAAACTAGTGTCCGACCGAAACTGGTTTTTACGACTGAAAACAAATTTCGGCAACGGTCTCAGTTTCAACTGAACCTGAAACTTCCATACAAGGATTATGTTTTGAGGGAAAAATGAAGAAAATGTTATTATAATCAGTCAGTCTCCATTTTTTATCTTTAAATCACGTTATGCAGTCTTCGATATTTTTACTTATTGATAATCAACATAACAACCCTTATTTAAGAAAAAATATTAATTGCACCTTGAGGTGTAGATCATTCTTTTGAATATTATTGATGGTTTTTCAGAAATATTAAAGGTATAATTACCTATTTAAGTTGTTACCAACATCATAATAGGTACTTAATATTTATGTAATAAACAAAGTAACTCACGACATGATTAGGCACGTGGACGCGGCAAAATGTCTTCGTCTCTTGTATGAAATTCAACGCGCCGAACATGACCGGTCACAGCGCGGAAACTCCCGAATGCAGTTTCGATTTCGATCGTAGTTTCAGCAGGTTTGCCACCGAAACCAAACTTTCGGTCGGACACTAAAATAAACATCGAAAAAACTCATGAAAACAGAGAATAGGAAAAATAACGAAAACGGCGGGAAATGAAACCATCTTAACTGAGGAAGAAACAAATTAAAAAAAGAAATCATTGCTAAGATATACCAATTTAATCAACTAGCTTCAATGTTTTATCATTCAATTTTGAAAATTAAATTTTCACATTTTTCCTTTAACATTTCTTTTTCATCTCATATTTCTTACACATATTAGAAACAATACATAATAGGCTTGCTGAGGGACATCTGGAACAGTGAATGGTGAAATCAAGTCGACTCCAAGACCATGGAATTATGGTATCCGGAACAGGAGAGAACAAATAAAAATTATTTTGCATAAGGCTCACACATGAACATCGAGGAGAGAAACTACATTGCCAAATTTGTGAAGTTCTACTAACGTTGTCTAATGTTTAAGTTGGAAAGAAACACCTACAACATACAGGGCCGTAGCCAAAAGAAAAACCGGGGGGGGGGGGAATCCAAATTTTACCAACTCCACTAGCAAAATTTCTAGGGATTATTACTACTATAATATATTAATTTTCTTACTTAGCTATCCAAAGATTGCCTGAATGCTTATGCCCGTTAGGGTATGCACAAACAAAAATAAATTTTGGTGATTATAAAAATAATAATGGGAATTATTCTACTTTGGACAAAGGTCCTTGGTTTTCCATCATATCCACCATGTATAGGAATATTCAATACAAATAAAAGGAAACAACACTCAAATAATATTGTGCTTATTGTTTCCTACTATTATTTTTTCTATCTTCACGACCCGAAATTTTCCAAGTCGGAAAAACAGCGAAAAGTTGGGAATTTTGTAAAATTGTCACTTCAAAATTAGTGGACTATTCAGGACTATTATCTTACTTGGGAGAAATTAAACTTTTTTGAATATTTCAAACAACTCAGAATTCTCTTGAAGTTATGCATGTTGGGAAATCCCAACCTTTTCCTGGTTCTTTCCCTTTTCTTATTACCTCTCCTTTTCTCTTCTCTCATTTTTATTTTTTTACTTTTCATTAATTTTTTTACTATTATTTTTTTCTATCTTCATGGCCCAAAATTTCCCAACTTTTTCCCAAGTCGAAAAAGCAGGGGGGTATCCCCCCCTTGGCGACGACCCTGACAACATACCTCAATAATTGAAAGAATATAAGTAGACATAACGACGAATATTAGTGGCTTTTTACCTGTTTTCAACATTACTGAAAAATTGTAGTGTACAACAAAATATTTATGATCAACTAACATACTTGTATTCCGCCTCTAATAATCATCAAGTTGATGTGGTTGTTTGTAATTTAACACGTTGACGGCCAACTACGAGATAATTCGTAGTGAGCAGTCTTCCACAGTCTACATATATACTCATATTCTGAAACGCCGCGCCGGTTACGAATTATCTCGTAGGTAATACGTACTAAATATACACATCAGGCGTCTGCGATAGATCCATTCAAATCTATATGGCAACGAGAACGACACAAGGCAAATAAACCGAGTATATATTCAAAAAGAAAGGGAAACGTAACTTTTATCAACTAACCTTTTTATGTGCACAAGATATGATTTATAAAATTCGTTCATAAATGATAGTTTTTGTAGCATTGGTCCACACACAAGGCAGGTTTTATTTCACATACTGGACAAAATACGTTGTTTCTCCCGACGTTTTTCGTCCGTGCAAACACGGCAAGGTTTAGTCGGAAGCGCTTTTTTTTCAGTTGGTGATGTGGCCTCCAAATAATGAAATGTTTCAGGATTGTGGGGTATAGTGTTTTTCTTGGGCATTTCATCTATGATTAGGAATTTTAGAGTTCTTATGTCTGAATTGGCTGCTTTTCGATATAACAAATGAGCATTGTGAATAAATATTTCTAAAATATAAAAAAACAATTTCTTCGGCCATATAATTGTTTTCCGTAAAACAGAATAATATGACGGCATCTGATCTGAACTGTCAACGCCAGACATTCCTATACTTTATTGTAGTCTCTCGCATAATGTTTGGTTTCATTGCTACTCTGCCATTCGTATTTCGAACTTCCCCAGATTGTACTTTGTGCATGTTCAATATAGTGAGGATGTCTCATTTATCTCTCCATTTGCAGAGAACAATTGATTCATGCCGTGTTAGGAATCACACGTTAAAAGGTAAAACCTAGTTAGACCTTAGCTCGCACAAGTTTCTCAACTTGTCAGAGTTATCGTTCGTATGAGGGCGTCAGCTGATTAACGGAAAAACAGATTACAGATTATGCCTACGTTATGCAAGCTCTTTTTTTGTCTCCTATTTACCAGATCCTGTGAATTTCCTTTTCTATTGGATCTGAGAGTCCAACAAATATATGTTTTCCTATCAGTAAATGTCTTTGTCAACGCGACAGAGTGATAAAAATTATCTGTAAAGAGCATGTAGCCTTTATCCAAGTAGTCTTCCATCAATTCAAAAACTACATCTGCTGCATAATCCAATTCGGTTGTTGTTTCGGACTTGCGGCAATATATTTTGATTCTTAGCACCATCCTGTCTGTTTCACTAAGCTCATAAAGTTTTACACCGTACTTGTGCTTTTTGTTTTTGATATTTGATTTCCGGAATCATCAGCAAAATGTATAAATCGCAAAATGAGCTGAAATCGGTTGCGACTCATAATTAAATGTTGTTTTATACAATGGATCAGTACTCCAATAATGCGCAATACTTGGCAGCGTACAAGGCCCCATATGTAGTAACAAACCCAGAAAATGTTTCATTTTCGGAGCGTCAACATCCTTCCAGCGAGTAAATCGTGAGGATCTTCTTATTGGGCCCATCTTACCTATTTCTTGATTAGCGTACCGATTAGTCTGCGTTACAAGGAGATCCAAAAATGCCTGCGTGAAGAACACATCCACAAGATCATTTATTGTCAAATTTCGGGAGTTGAATTGCAAGCCACAATCTTCTACAAAATTGAATTGAGGTGGTTCTTGCTCAATTTCGCACCAAGTGATGTTTTGGTTAGTAGCTGAAGAATTCTGCGGAATATTCATATCGACACCCCCAGGGTTCTGCATCGCCTTCATTTTCTCCCTCATTTCAGTATGGAACTAAAATATCTTCAAAACAAGCCGAGATATGTGGATATTCATCAGCCTCCTATCAAGGTTAATTCGCAAGTGATTGATCCACCTTCTTCTTTTTTAGTGCGGTC